GAATGATTCTTGGGCAATTATTTTCATTGCAGTGTTGTTCACCAATATTTGATTGTATCACTGCCATGTCTGATACACAATAAATTCTGAATTAAAAGTCTTGTCTCCCCATGTGTTGGCTCAGTCAGAAGTTAGCCAATGCTGTCTTGACCATCAAAGTAATAAATTGGCCAGTAAGAGAAATAAATCACCTGTCTACTGGTTTTCCAGGGATGCAAAATTAAGTCTAATTCATAGACAGTAGTGGTCAAATTAGGCCTTTAGCCAGATACACTGTATCCCTGAAAAATAATGTACTTTTTAAGCATTAAACTGAAGAGACTGGAACTTTTTGTCAATCTGTGGTTGTCAAATTCACATTTTGAAATGGACACTAATTTTATCCACCAAGCCTCAACCAGGACTTGATGACAATCATACACAGACTGAGTCTCCTACACAATTCTCGTCCACTAAACACTTTGGTTCAAAACTAATCCGGGGTTTATTTTATGTAAGGTATGAAATTCACAAAGGAACTAGCAAACTCAGAGCTTTGGGTCACTGGGATTGGATGGGAATAACTAAGATGAGCAGAGGCATGCTGCGGTTGAAGATGAGGGACTAGAGGAAATAATAAGTGTGGCAGAGAAGGGTAATCTCCTCTGCACATGCTAAGCTAAGTTTTTATAAGTTGGCCGTTGAACTAATATATGAAAAGTCTTTGAGGTGTAGGAACTTTTGTCCCACATCGGCAGAAGGAGCAAGAACAAGTAGTTTCTCGCCTATAAAATAAAGCAGCTGATTTTTTCCTAACTTACGGAGCCATGCGTCGAGCACAAAGCGAACTATTCTTTCGCCTTTTACTAAAGAATACCGTGTGCGCGTCGCTTTAAATGGCATACGCCTATTTTTGGAGGGGCGCACCTCTGTGGGTGCCCCTATAATTACAGTTTTAATTATTTTCTTATGACTTCGACTCTGTGGGGTCGTTTGATAATGACTTAAACCGAATCCGTTGGTCCTAATGTGCGCTCTGGAGCAAAATATTGAATGTGCTTCCGGGCCCCCGCTGGATTGTAGCTGTGATTTCTGACTTCATACTAGGTATAGACCACATTTATAGGCCAACTACCTAGCATTTTCCTTATTTATAGGCCACCCACCTAGCATTTTCCTTACTAATTATACATTATGAAAACGAACACAGATATTTTCCAAAAATCACCTTGCTTAACGAAACCAAAAAAGTTGTGTTGAATCATTTTCAGAATTCATTTTCTCAGAGAACATTCTCCTATTATGTTACAGGGGATGAGTCTTCCTACTTAATTTTGTCAATTTATATCCACTTGGGTTTGAAATCAAGGACTGATTTTATTTAAGAATAAGGATATAAATGTTGACACTTATCTTTTAGCTATACGCATTCTTCGATGGGATATGAATTTGGGACTCTGAAATAGACTGACTGCTTTGGGACGCTTTAAGTGGCATACGCCTATTTTTGAAGGGGCTGCACATCTGTTGGTGCCCCTAACAATGAAGTCATGAAATTTTAATGATAAAAAAAAGTCCTAAATATGATCTAATTAACAATAAAATTACGTGTTTATTATTAAAATACTTGTTTATCATTAAAATAAAAATATACAATCCAATTTCAGAAACAGATCCTTTATTGTATAGCAGGTACCCTTTATCGAGCAACTTCCAACAAAGGAAAATACCAACACTTCACCAATAACATACAAAAGCTCCTATATATATTATTTTAATCACCATAAGGGTGCTTACCAGTATCTTAGTTTGTTTAGATTTGCCATATTGGCAAATGGTATCGTATCCATGTACCCGTATTTGTACCCGTACATAATATAAAATTAAGGAGCTGGAGAAAAATCAAACCTAACAAAGTTTAGAGTTTCATCATCGATCCAACGGTACTTCTCCACGAATGGATTGACTAGGGTATTAGGAGGGTAGCTGTCTAAGCAGTCTTTCCAAACATTTGCATCATCCAAGTCCTTGAGCACTTCCCACACAATATTGTTGCACTTAAAACCTGCTCCAAATCCACTCATCAGAATTCTGTTGCCCTTCTTGAGCCTCTTCTTGGCCTCCATGTATCCCAAAGCATACCAAAACCCAGCAGCTGATGTGTTCCCAAACCTGTGAAGTGCCATTCTAGATGGCTCAACATCATAATCACTTAGCCCCAAGCTCTTACCAATCCCATCTATGACTGCTCTTCCACCAGGGTGAATGCAAAAGTGCTCAATCCCGGTCTTAAGATTCAACCCAACTCCCGCATCTGCTTTTAGCTTTTGGCTTTTGGCACTTTTAAGCTTAGATACCACCAGGTACCTAAGTATTTCTCTCAGTGGAAGCACTTTTGGTAATAGAACTTGGAGGTTCATTGTAAATCCCTGACTTGCTGCTTTTACAAGGTATTTGGTAAGGCGAAAACCTTTATATCCACTCTCATCTTCCACCTGTATACAACAGTTATATGCTTCATCATTTGAGCCAGTATGCATTCGTACCATATGATTTAGTTTCAACTTGGCTTGGTGCTTTAGGTCTCTGTTGTTTGTGAACAGCATCGAACACCCTCCCGAACGAAACAGACAGTTTGTGAGCATCATGGATTTTTCTTTGCCGCAGTACCAATGAGGAGATATGGATTCTGTGCTTACAACAATGGCGTTCACGTTCTTGTACGACTTGAATAGGTTTTGCACAACATCAATGGCAATGAGGCTTGCACTGCAGCCCATTCCTGAGAGGTTGAAGGTCTTGATGTCCTCCCTCATCTTGTAGCGGTTTACTATACGGGATGTTAGAGAGGGTGCTGGGCTGAACATGGACACATTGACCACAAGAATGTCGATTTGTGATGGAGAAATTGTACTAAACTTAGCAAAGAGCTTGTCCAGTGTGTCGAAGATGATGTCGTCCATCTCCAAAAGCTCATCTACTAGGGTTGCATCATCTTCTCGGCCTTCAATGATGTTTTTTGGGCAATAAGTTTCCTCACCGATGCCGGAATTGACAATTGTTTTCAAGAGAAACCTGAACTCCTCCAACCCTAGATTTTTGTTCCGTGTGACGATTTTGACACAAGAATCAGTGCAGAGCATCATGTCATCTGTGGGCATGTAGCACTCATAGGCCAGCAGATAGCAGGCCTGGTCTTTCCTTCGCAGAACTATCTTATGGAGGCAAGAGAGACCATAGAAAAGAGCAAGCAAACACATCACCATCAAGAGCTCCATGGCCCCTAGTTAGCTCTGTGTAGGGTTTTGTGATAGAAGGAGGGGGGTCAGAATTGTGGAGTGTCAAATGATGAGTTGCATGCAACTTGGAACAATTCTCATAATTTTTACTTTCCATACAACCTATTCTTTCCTTTAAATACAATTCCTAAGAAGCATTCTTGGGAATTGGTACTTATTATTTTAGTGATATATACCAGATATCTATAAAAAGCAGCTATTCATTAAGAAGTATGGTTAGGCAGTAAGCACAAGTCAAGCTCTAATAAAGGGTTTGGTTAGCCATGATCGAACGCACGGTATAAATGCCCACAGCTTCCCCACCCACCCAACTCAATTATTTATAAGAAAATCTTTTTTTTGCAAAAATTATTGATAAGATTGAGTGATATATATTTAGGTAGATAGGAGTTATAATCCTATACAATTAATGGGAGACGGACTAAAATTCTCAATCTAATAATTCGACCCAATTTGAATTTGATACGTGTTGAATATGAATTTATAAATTTAATCCGATAATTTGAATATGATCTAAATTTGATCCATTTACAAGCATATAGTACGTATTTATTTATCTTCACTTTTTCATTGTCTTGAATTTATGAAAAAACAACACTTTTGACATCATCTGTGCTTTCAGTGATTCAACTTTTTCACAATTGAATTTGACTTGAGTTAGCTTGTTTTCTAGGACGAGCTAGTGCTAAAGAGCTAAGCTTTAAGATTTTGCTTGACTTAGCTCATGTTGAGAAACAAGTTAAGCTTGAGCTTAAACGGTCTTCATTCTTCAAGTCCAATATATACAAAATTGAATGTAATTGATAACTGAACATATAAAAAGTTTAAACTTTATGAGCAAATAGGAGAAAGATGAACCAAACTCAAACTATTTCATAACAAAATACAAGTTGCTCATCACGAAATTTGTATGTTCAAGCTTTGATATACCGATCTTGCAAGTCTAATCATACTATATATGCCAAAAACCCCAGAGGCAGAGAGAGGCCTCGGGCAAGCAACAATACTAGTCCCACATCGACGAGAAGAGCAAGAACTAGCTGGTCCCACATCGACGAGAAGAGCAAGAACTAGCTGGTCTCCCTCATATAAATCGAAGCAGCTGCGGTCTTATCAAACCACGGAGCCATGCGTTGAGCACAGAGCGAACTATTCTTTCGCCTTTTACTAAAGAATACCGTGTGTGCTCGTCGCTTTAAATGGCATGCGCCTATTTTTGAATGGGTTGCACCTCTGTGGGTGCCCCTATCAATTCAATCATGAAATTTTTATGACCAGGAATGCTAAATATGTCTTGTATTTATGGAAAAAAAATCGATATGCCCTGATGTTTAATTTATGTTAACCAAGCCCCTTCTTTTATTACACATTCATTTGGTTTCTGAGATGCACTAAGAGCATCTCCACCCACAAGGGCTAAGTCTAAGGTAAGGGCAAGCAAGGGCTGCCACTATTCACGTGAATAGTGTCAGCCTTTGCATTTGTGGTTCCACCCATGAGGGCAAAGTCTAGGGCAAGTCTAAGGCAATTACTATTCATTGTACTTTATTTCCTATTTGTTTATACTTTAAACTATTAATTTTGATAAGCTTTTTAGATTATATTTTCGGTTGTCACGTGTCACTATTTATTATAAAATTTTCATTTCAAATTTAAGATAACATTTTTCGAATAAAATTTTTGGATAAAATTTTTCGAATAACATTTTTGGTTTTTCCTTGACTAATCTATTAAAAAAAAAGAAATTGGAAATGCAAGAAATATATATATATAAAAAAGACATTAAATTGAATAAAAATTGATTTTTTTTTTTTTTTTTTTTTTTTTTTTTTTTTTTTTTTTCCTTTTGATGATTTCAAGAAATGTTGTGAATTGATGTGAAAAATATTGGAAGGAGATGAAGGTTTTTATGAAGATTTGGTGTAGAAAGTGAATAAAATGGTTAGGTATTTATAGGGAAAAAATACAGAATTTTTTGGTATTTAAAAAAAAAAATCAGAATTTTTCAGAATTGTTTCGAAATTTTTTTGAATTTTTTTGGCCAAAAAAAAAAAAATCTGTTTTACTGTGCGCTGACGTCAGCGTGACGCCAGCGCTGACGTCAGCCAACTCGGGCTTCAGCCTGGGCAAGACTTGCCCTTGGGCTTGCTCGGGCACGTGGGACCCACCACCAAACCGGGCTACGGGCCCTGCGCTGGAGCTGTCTCGGGCTGCCTCTGGCAGCCTTTCCCCCCTAGCCTGGGCTGCGCTGGAGATGCTCTAACAGGCACGGTACTACTAACAAGCTAACCTGGGCTTTAGCCCAAGAGACTTGTTTTTTTAAAGACTAAAATAATACCCTTGCCTAGGCCAATCTTATTAAGTAATCCCCACTAGGCTGACTAACCAACAAAAAAAAAACCCAACACTCTTATTGATCGGCTGCACCAGTTCCAAGGCTGCTTCTTCTCAACTCCACAGAGGTCTTTTTCCTCTACCTTTGTATTGAGCTATTGTTTTTTGGGGAATTCTAGTAACAATTATGCTAATTTGGAAAATGACTATTTTGAATATATATTATTTTAAATATATGTTATTTTAATAGCGGTATTGGATACAGGGTTTTTGAGGGGTAAAGCTCATTATGTCCCCTGTGTATTTTTTTATTATCAATGAAATTAATTTGTAGCGTCGAGTTTTCAATAAGTTTGTACGTAAGGTTAGCCCAAGTCATTTTCAAATTATGGGTCCGTCCCTATGCACTAATGTGTTGAAACACCAGCTCTGGGTTTATAATGAGGTGTACTAAAACATTGATACTTAACCAATAAGATCTCAAATTAAAAAGCTTATTGAGAAAAATCAAACCTAACCAAGTTTAGAATTTCATCATTGAGCCAACTAGACTTCTCCTTGAATGGATTGACCAGGGTATTAGGAGGGTAGCTGTCTATGCAGTCTTTCCAAACATTGGCATCATCCAAGTCCTTGAGCACTTCCCACACAATATTGTTGCACTTAAATCCTGCCCCAAATCCACTCATCAGAATTCTGTTGCCCTTCTTGAGCCTCTTCAGAGAACATTATACTATTATTTTACAGGGGATGAGGGGATGAGTCTTCTACTTAATTTTGTCAATTAATATCCACTTGGGTTTAAAATCAAGGACTGATTTTATTTAAGAATAAGGATATAAATCTTGACACTTATCTTATAGCTATATGCAGTCTTAAAATGAATATTTTATAATTCTTTTCTACACTCACAAGTGAAGTGCAAAAGGCTATAAAAAAAAAGGGACAAAATTGACAAAAGAAGTAGAAAGCTCGGAGTTTTGAATGGGATATGAATTTGGGACTCTAAAATAGACTGCTTTTATGAATCTTCAATGGGTAAGATTTTTGTGGGGAACAGGTAAATATGACCAACGGTTCTCAGGGATTAAGCAAAGAGAGCAGCAGGAACAGCAACAGACTAGCAAACTGTGATCCCACATCGAAAAGAGCAGCAAAAACTTATTGTAGTCTCTTAACTATAAATTAAAGCAGCTGCAGAAGTGTAAAATCCACGGAGCCATGCGTTGAGCACATAGCGAACTATTCTTTCGCCTTTTACTAAAGAATACCGTGTGCTTGTCGCTTTTAGTGGCATACGCCTATTTTTGAAGGGGCTGCACCTCTGTTGTTGCCCCTAACAATGAAGTCATTAAATTTTTATGATCAAAAGTCCTAATTAAGATCTAATTAACAATAAAATTACGTGTTTATTATTAAAATACTGGTTTATCATTAAAATAAAAATATACAATGCAATTTTAAAAACAGATCCTTAATTGTATAGCAGGTACCCATTATCCAGCAACTTCCAACAAACATCAAAGGAAAATGTCAACACTTAACCAATAACATACGAAAACTCTTATATGTAATATATATATATATATATATATATATATTACTTTAATCACCGTAAGGGTGCCTTACCAGTATCTTAGTTTTTTTAGATTTACCGTATTGGCAAATAGTATCGTATCCATGTACACGTATTCATATCCGTGTAACATAGTATAAAATTAAGGAGCTTGAGAAAAATCAAACCTAACAAATTTTAGAGTTTCATCATCGAACCAACTGTACTTCTCCATGAATGGATTGACTAGGGTATTAGGAGGGTAGCTGTCTATGTAGTCTTTCCAAACATTTGCATCATCCAAGTCCTTGAGCACTTCCCACACAACATTGTTGCACTTAAAACCTGCTCCAAATCCACTCATCAGAATTCTGTTGCCCTTCTTGAGCCTCTTCTTGGCCTCCATGTATCCCAAAGCATACCAAAACCCAGCAGCTGATGTGTTCCCAAACCTGTGAAGTGCCATTCTAGATGGCTCAACATCATAATAACTTAGCCCCAAGCTCTTACCAATCCCATCTATGATTGCTCTTCCACCAGGGTGAATGCAAAAATGCTCAATCCCGGTCTTAAGATTCAACCCAACTCCCTCATCTGCTTTTAGCTTTTGGCTTTTGGCACTTTTAAGCTTAGATACCACCAGGTACCTAAGTATTTCTCTCAGTGGAAGCACTTTTGGTAATAGAACTTGGAGGTTCATTGTAAATCCCTGACTTGCTGCTTTTACAAGGTATTTGGTAAGGCGAAAACCTTTATATCCACTTTCATCTTCCACCTGCATACAACAGTTATATGCTTCATCACTTGAGCCAGTATGCATTCTCACCAAATGATTTAGTTTCAACTTGGCTTGGTGCTTTAGGTCTCTGTTGTTTGTGAACAGCATCGAACACCCTCCCGAGCGAAACAGACAGTTTGTGAGCATCATGGATTTTTCTTTGCCGCAGTACCAATGAGGAGATATGGATTCTGTGCTTACAACAATGGCGTTCACGTTCTTGTACGACATGAATAGGTTTCGCACAACATCAATGGCAATGAGGCTTGCACTGCAGCCCATTCCTGAGAGGTTGAAGGTCTTGATGTCCTCCCTCATCTTGTAGCGGTTTACTATACGGGATGTTAGAGAGGGGGTGCATGGCTGAACATGGACACATTGACCACAAGAATGTCGATTTGTGATGGAGAAATTGTACTAAACTTTGCAAAAAGCTTGTCCATTGTGTTGAAGATGACGTCGTCCATCTCCAAAAGCTCATCTACTAGGGTTGCATCATTTTCTCGGCCTTCAATGATATTTTTTGGGCAATACGTTTCCTCACCGATGCCGGAATTGACAATTGTTTTCAAGAGAAACCTGAACTCCTCCAACCCTAGATTCTTGTTCCGTGTGACGATTTTGACACAAGAATCAGTGCAGAGCATCATGTCATCTGGAGCCTTGTAGCACTCATAGGCCAGCAGATAGCACGGCTGGTCTCTCCTTTGGAGAACACACTTACAGAGCCAGGACAAGCCAAAGAAAAGAGCAAGCAAACACATTGCCATGAAGAATTCCATGGTCCTTGCTGTGCGTGTGAGAGATCGGGGAAGAGGGGTTTTGAATTTTTTTTTAAAGAAAGGGGCTCAAATAATAGGTACTCATTTTGATGAACAAGTAAATATAGTCAGACAGAGGAACAACCAACAATAAACAGTATGGCAAGCCATGACTGAGCATTAATTGGAGATAAGCTTTGAGACAATTATTCAAATCATTGAGAGGGAGTGATACTCCATATCTACACTTGCCAAGTTGCCATACGTCTTCCAAAACCAAAATTAATGCCAATCACTGATTTGTTCATACATTATTGTCTTGTAAATTTCTTTAAAAACAACAGTGTGATTTATTTGAGAAGTGCTCTGTTTAATGGATGTTATGTGGGCTTTTACTGAATTACCTTCTGATGGTAAGGATGGCATTGGCCAACTCATTCAATACATTTTTGGAGCCTAAACAATGTGTGTGTGTAGCAGTAAAACAATGGGGTCATGAAAACAAAAAAACAACAGCATGATGAAGATGACGGAAAGCAAATGCCCACAACAATTGAAATATAAAAAATGCAAAAAGAGCAAAATATGAGTTTTTTGGCAATGGTTCTTCTTGAAACTTGGCTAGGAACTAAAAAGGGGCTAATCAAACTAGATATGAGCAAAGTTTGAATAGTAAAAATAAAAATAAAAATGAAAATCAAACTAGAGGACATCAAAGAGAAGCATCTGAATCAGCAATCAATAAGAACTAAACACGTGGACAATGCGCGTCATCAGCAGGGAAGCCTTCGGCACCCGTACATGTCGATATCAGTATAAAAACAGAAATGCCCACTGGACACGTGGCATATCCACAGTGAATGTCCACAGTCCCACATCAAAATTGTACACAACTTGCACACCTCTCAAGGTTTATAAAAGGAGCACAATTCCCCAAAAGGGAGATAATCAGAACTTACAGCATACTGCCTATTGATATGTTAGTTTAAGCTTACTAAATCCGTACTTACTTAAGCATCGGAAAGCCTTCGGCCGGTACCACATCGGTGCCTAAGGTCTTATCGAGCGTTCGTTATCTTGCAGATCACGCGCTCTACTGAGGCCCAGAGTATACCAAAGACCCAACATCACTAAGTTGAATTGAAAAGGTGCCAAGTCATTTTTTTCGCATCAACAAAGAAAGGGGCTCAAATAATAGGTACTCATTTTGATGAACAAGTAAATATAGTCAGACAGAGGAACAACCAATAATAAACAGTATGGCAAGCCATGACTGAGCATTAATTGGAGATAAGCTTTGAGACAAGTATTCAAATCATTGAGAGGGAGTGATACTCCATATCTACACTTGCCAAGTTGCCATACCTCTTCCAAAACCAAAATTAACGCCAAGCACTGATTTGTTCATACATTATTGTCTTGTAAATTTCTTTAAAAACAACAGTGTGATTTATTTGAGAAGTGCTCTGTTTAATGGATGTTATGTGGGCTTTTACTGAATTACCTTATGATGGTAAGGATGGCGTTGGCCAACTCATTCAATACATTTTTGGAGCCTAAACAATGTGTGTGTGTAGCAGTAAAACAATGGGGTCATGAAAACAAAAAAACAACAGCCTGATGAAGAACTATGATTCACAATGCATTAACGATTCACAATTGTTCACAACTTTATTGTATTTCACTACCAACAATGCTTTGAACAAAATCCAAGACAACCACCTAAAATTGTGAGGAAAAAAAATATAGGAAAGAAGGGACATTAAGTTCGATGGTAAAGATGAATAAATTTCACACCTACTATGTCCTTACAGCTTCTTTATATGGCTCCATCAACAGCCAAAAATTCCAGACGTTTTCCTTCATGTAAAATAAGTTCATACATACATGTTGAAGTCATGGAGCGGTGAACTGAAACCACAATAATTTGGTCGCTCTCCAATTTTCTCTGAAATGCTTATCTATGAAAGTAAAGTGAACCACCAGGAAGTATGGGCTTCGAATCCCCAGTGTTTAAGCCCAAAGTTGAAATTGCTTCTCTATATAAAAAATGTTGATATTTGAGGTGAAAGTATGAGAGAGCCATGAGTGATAGCGCTACGAGTCCCACATCGACAAAAGAGCAAGAAGTAGGCAGTCTCTGTAGAATAAAGCAAAGCAGCATGTGAGGGCCCAAATCACGGAGCCATGCGTTGAGCACAAAGCGAACTATTCTTTCGCCTTTTACTAAAGAATACCGTGTGCTCGTCGCTTTAAATGGCATACGCCTATTTTTGGAGGGGCGCACCTCTGTGGGTGCCCCTTATAATTCAAGAGTTATATTTTAAATGGATATTTTTACCCTTGATCACGTGCCAAGTAAAATAAGTGCTTTGACCAGCCCCCTACAAAATGAACTGTAAAATGTTTTTGTAAAACCTTTTAGGCCAAGATTTCATGTTAGTTGGAACTGACACTTCATTAAATATTCTTGTAAATACTTGTCCTTTGGTGGTCACTTGTTTTTTTTTAAATTTTAAAATATTTAAAAACAAGCAGAATTTCATTAATATAGGGACAAATAAAAGAGATGTACAAGAAGAATACACCCCAAACAGAGGTTCTTGCATACAATAAATTTGGAAAAATACCTCCAGTAAGACATTGAGGGATAAACATTACAAATGAAGCCCAGCTCATTAAGATTTAACAGATAGATGATCAAGAAGAGTCTTTGCACCACCAATGCATCAAAGAGACCATGAGAACAACATATTTTGCACATGAAACTAGAAGCACCAAAAGTGAAAGGGCCTTACCGCTCAACAGTTACCTAGCCAAAAAAGTCCACATCACCTCTAGCATCCCACATGATCTCATAGCACCCAATAATGAAAGATTCATATAGATCTAGCAACTCTACCTCCACAACATATTCTTCTATGGTCAGTTGTTTTAACACATAGTTTTAAAGAAAAAAAACCTAGTTATATGATTAACATAACAAACCTTTTGGACGAGGGGCATAATACATCCAAGCCCACTGGCTAGTGTGGGAGCGGATCCGCTGTCCCCAAATTGGTGTCCCCTCCATGTCCCCTCTCTAATTTGCTGACACGTGTCAACTAACATAACGGGAAGTTAACTCCGTTAACTTTTTTATTTGACAATTTTAAAAATTAAAAAATTAAAAACTGCCCAAATAACCTAGCAGCCAGCGAGCGTCCTTCCTTGCTAAACCCAGCGAACGTCTTCCTTGCTAAACCCAGCAAGCATCGTCTTCTCCGCGAGAGTCTTCTCCTCTTCTCCAATTGCAACCAACAAGCGTCGTCTTCCTTGCAAAAACCAGCCATACCCACTCTCCTCCCTCATAATCACTACATCTTCTCCACAATCAACTCTCAAATACTTGCAAAACTCAATTCTCCTCCCTCCTAATCTCTGTTTGGAAATTGCAGCACCATTAAACCAATCGATTATACCTTTTGTTGAAGCCCCGTGGATGGAGGTGAGCAAAGCTCTGTGTATTGGAAACTTATATAATATACACTAAATCAAAGTATTATTTATTCAATTTTCTTTGTTAGGTTTTATCTTCATGATATGTTTGATGATATGTTTGATTTCATATTCATAGTAATCAATCTTTTGAACAATCCCAGCCATATATTCATAGGAATCAACCTTTTGATTTCATAGGAATCAAACCCAGTCATATATAATAATCAATCCCTGTCTTGATTAAATTAATTGTTATTTTATGATTATTGTTTTATATATAGATTCATAACGTGTTGCCAATTTTCTCAAGGACATGAACGGGGAAAATAATTACAGAGATGATGATGGAACTCAAGCAAGTCTGAAGCTAATTTTTGAAACAGGTGGGGACTTCAATGCTTTTGCAGGCAGTGAAAGTAATGAAGAAAAGTTTTCAGAAACTACACAAGGTAACAAAAACATAGAGTTGATCCATTCTAACATGCAGAAAAAACTAGTTCCTGAAATAGGCATGGAGTTTGAGACAGAAGAAGAAGCCTTTAAATTTTACAATGCATATGCATATGGTGTTGGTTTTAGTATTAGACGAAGTAAATTTCATAAAGAGAAATGTGGGAAGTTGAGAGACAGACTTTTTGTTTGCTCTGCTGAAGGTAAGCGTGAAAAGAATAAGTGTGATGGCAGTGTGAAATCTCATCGTGCTGAGACAAGATTTGGATGTCTAGCAAGGATGAAAATAAGTTGTCGGCTAAATGATAAGTATTGTGTTACTGAGTTTGTGCCTGAGCATACGCATGTTACTTCTAGTCCTTGTAAGACCCATTTTTTTAGGTCACATAGGAACATGTCTCTTGCACAAATAGTTGAAGCTAATATGGCCGATAGTTCGGGAATTGCTCCAAAAGCAACTCTAGAACTTCTGAGTAGACAAGCCGGTGGACGTCAGAATCTTGGATTCATTCCTGTAGATTATAAAAATTATTTACGTTCAAAGCGTACAAGAGAAATGAGGGTAGGAGATACAGGGGGCCTGTTAGAATATTTACAACAAATGCAATTGAATGATCCTAATTTCTTTTATGCTATACAAGTGGATGAAGATGATATGATTACTAATATCTTTTGGGCTGATGCAAGGATGATGGTGGATTATGATTATTTTGGTGATGTGGTATGCTTTGATACGACCTATAGAAAAAATAAAGAAGGAAGACCTTTTGCAATGTTTGTTGGTGTCAACAATCATAGGCAAACTGTCGTATTCGGTGCTGCATTATTGTATGCTGAAACAGCTGACACATTTATTTGGTTATTTGATACTTTTGTCAAGGCTATGTCTGGAAAAAAACCAATAAGTATTCTAACAGACCAAGATGCAGCAATGGCTAAAGCGTTGCTTTCAGAGTGGCCAGAAACATGTCACCGTTTGTGCATTTGGCACATATACCAAAATGCAGCCAAGCATCTTAGCAATGCTTTTGAGAAGTTCAAAAATTTTACCAAAGACTTCGGTAGATGCATATATGATTATGAAGATGAAGATGATTTTATAAACGCTTGGAATAACATGCTTGAAAAATATAATCTCAAGGATAATGATTGTTTGAGGCGATTGTTTAATATAAAGGAGCAATGGGCATTAGTTTATGGGCGACAAACTTTTTGTGCTGATATTACTACTACCCAACGCAGTGAAAGCATGAATAGTGCTTTAAAGAAGTATGTTAGTTGCAAATATGATTTGCTACGATTTTTTCAACATTTTCAGAGGTTAGTTGAAGATCGTCGTTATCAAGAGTTGAAAGCTGAATTTAGAGCAAGTCAAAGTTCACCTGCATTGTCATTTCCAGTGGAAATATTAAAGCACGCATCAAATATATATACACCAGAAGTGTTTAAGTTGTTTCAAGATGAGTTGTGTAAAGCTCATGATTGTGTCTTGAAATTCAATGGTGAGATTGGAAGCATCAGCAAATATGAAGTTATCCCTCATAAGAAGTATTGGCACCACACAGTCACATTTGACTCAATAGATAATACGGTTTTATGTAGTTGTAAGAAGTATGAGTTTGCAGGAATCTTGTGTGTACATGCCTTAAAAGTCCTCTCTACCAGAAATATTAAAAATATTCCCGCTCAATACATCTTGAAGAGATGGACCAAAAATATTAAGGCTAAGAGTACAAAATCTACTTGCAATGTCTCTAGTGAAAATGACTCAAAAGTAGAAATTGTCAGGCGTTACAGAGAATTATGTCGGTTGCATACTCAGTTAGCAACACGAGCATCAGAGTCGAAAGATGCATATGAAACTGCTATATTAGGACTTAACAATACGTTGAGAGATGTGGATGCGTGTTTGAAGAAGAAAGCAAGTCAAGAACCAACTCAGGTGATCTCAAAAACTACCAGTGCATCTAAGCTTAATGAGTATATTTGTATTGACGATGATATCATTAAAGTTAGAGGAATCAAAACTAAGACCAAAGTTGTTGGCAATTCTAAAAGGCCAAAGAATGCTTTGGAAAAGCTCACAAAGAAGAAAAAGCCTCAAAATAAAGAAGAATGTGCTCTATTGGAACAGGTATTTTAATATATATTTTTTATTATTTAAAAGTTATGATTGTTAATATTTGTTTTATTTTAACTCATTTTAAAATTTATGGTTTTGAAATAATGTTAGGAACCTGATTCTCACAATGAGACTATTCACATGCCAACCCAATCTCAAGCAACAATGGATATTTCACAGGTAATGTTTAAGTTAAATTTATCTTTTTTTGGTGTCTATCTATGGCATTTCACAAGTAATGTTAAATATGTTACTGACTTAACTTATATATATTCTTCATGTGTGCTTCTTTGTATACTAGCAATACTACATAAGAACCCACAATACTTTGAGCAACTATCAACAAGGTCCAACTAGCATGATGAATTTATTGCAGGTAATTCCTTGTAATTGGTTACTACCTTTTGTTTTCTCGTGAATGAGTACTAACTTATTTCATTGTATACACATATATGCAGGCAGAATTACCACAAGAAGAAGAATTAAGCTTACTGAGCTCTGAAGGACTAGACTTGCTGAACTCTGAATTGACATGCAGTGCCAAGACACATGATATGTGCGTCCAAGATGTTGAATGAGAAGAATGTTGAAGAATTTTTCCTTCTTTTGGACTCAAAGTTTCATTTAAGAATATTTGGTTATGACATTTGGAGCAAGCATGTATTTACCTTTTGTATTGTTAAAGACTTCATATGTATGACAATTTTAATGGGCATTTGATGTCATATATTATTGGAACAAAACCAGCGACTATGTGGAATCAATTATAACTGAATATTGCTCGTTGTTAAGTGGTAGGACAAGTATTGAACAATACTATATTTCATTCTTTCCCTCATGAGGGGAAAAAAGATTTATCTTCAGTAAGTCAATAAACTGGCAAAATGCATACATCTCGCTGCAACATTTTGTCAAACACATTGTGCATTCAACTTTTTCAGACCCTATGACATTGATTGGTGTAGGGGTAGGGGCACTTCCTTGTAGTTGCTGGAGCAGATCTTTTTCTTCTGGAATTGCAGCCGCAGTGTTCAAATCCATCAGCTTCTCTTCTCCTTCACAAGGTTTAATTAACTCAAACTCAAACTCAACTGGCACCATTGCTTGGTTGGTCACAACAGAAACTGATGATGGAGGAGGAGGAGGGTATGGAAGAAGAGACAGAGTCATTAAACTGGAGCTTTTGACGGCATCAAAGCTTGTTGGTATGGGAAGCTGTGGAAGAGCATGAGCAAAACCATCCAAGGTGATGGGTCCTCTCCTCTGCCTCTTGAAGGTTGTTGGTGACAGAGCAAAACCATCACCTCGTGAATATCGTTAAACTCCAAATAACTAAATCTCTATGTCATAACAGCAGTAGATTCAACTCCAATTAACCATTTAATTCACAAATTCTTCAAAGATAGCCAAACACATGAAAGACCCCAAGGAAGAGGATGCTCGCTGGGTTTAGCAAGGAAGAACGCTTGCTGGGTTTAGCAAGGAAGGACGCTCGCTGGCTGTTGGGTTATTTGGGCAGTTTTTAATTTTTTTAATTTTTAAAATTGTCAAATAAAAAAGTTAACGGAGTTAACTTCCCGTTATGTTAGTTGACACGTGTCAGCAAATTAGAGAGGGGACATGGAGGGGACACCAATTTGGGGACAGCGGATCCGCTCTCGGCTAGTGTGTAGCTGTAATTTCATATCCGTATCTTTTGAAACATGTAATGATGATCACGACCAAGGACCGAAATATCGGGGATGTTATCATTTTTTGGGGAAGGGGATATTTGGGAACATATTCGTGTACTTATAATATAAATATCAATAATATCAGGGAAATTTCGGCTTTAATAATATCCTTCAATTATCATCAGCATTTGGTCAATATATCACGATAGTATCATGATATGGACATGGAATAGAAAAAATAATGAAACAGCTTATATGCGTGCGCACACGGGGATTCGAACCTTTGCCACTTCCATTCTTCCTCCAACGCCTTATCCACCACATTGTCGATGACTTTGTTAAACACAAAACCAACCATTTTCTTACCCTTCATATCCCATGCCTTTTGGGACAACATTGAGCTACTCATGGAAAAAATCTGATACCCAATCTTCAAATGATTTTGCTTATGGGAAACGTCAACCAATCTCAAATCCATATGGGTGACATGTTAACAATTATATGCAAAACTATTTTGGGAATTTATCATTTGATGGCTACTCTTCACAGTATATGTACTCTACACATAGCTAGAGATAATGAAGACAGTGAAAAATTTGAACCTCATAGGAACTTTATGTGGTACTAAGTCACTCATGTATGTTACCACACAATATATAAAGTGTAAAATATTATAGTAAATCATTATAAATAAATGATTATGGTGTGTTTAATCTTCTTTCATTAATTACTACATATTTTCTACGCTCACGTGTTTGTCAGTTCGCTATATAATCAATTTAAATCAAGTCAAACCCACAAAGTAATGCATTTCCTTCCAAATTTTTGTGATAAAATAATAGATATTTGACTAAATAAACATCCTCTAAAGTTTCAATCAAAATTTCCAAGTTTTTCTTTCCGTGGTTTGTATTCAATTTTTACCAATATTGATACTTTCCTGATATTTCCATCAATACTTCCGTGTTTTTGGACCCTCGATATTTCCAAAACCCTTGATATTTTAGACCTTAATTATGACAATGATGCATAGCTCGGAATATTGCATTTTATATGCAGGACAATATTGTTGCCTCTAAATTTTGTATAGGTTGACATCATATCAAATCACATCATTTTTTATATTGGCGGAAGTGCACTTAAAAATATAAGATTTTGTTAGTATCATTCTACTCACGCATGTGTGATTGACTCACAACGCATCAATGACTTACAATTATTCACAACTTTCTTGTAAATTGTACCTAACAACAATAGATTCATGTTCGAGGAAGGAACACAACCAATTGGTAAAAGATTAGTTTTAATATCCAAGGCAACCACCCAAATTGTGAGGAAAAAGTCTAGGAAAAAAGGGATGTTAAGTTTGATGGTCAAGAGGAATCAAATTTACATTTACTAATGTCCGTGAAGCACTTATGGCTTAAACACTTCGGAATCAACAACCAAATATTCCTTACCTTTTGTTATAAAAAATAATAGTTTTCCTCTTTCCGTAAAGCCAAATACAAAACATTTATATTATAAATAACATATAAACAAATTGGAAAGCTTTGAAGGTATAATGAAATTGAAGAAAACAAAATAATAGGTAAGTAAAAGGAAAATAAACAATAAGTAAGAAGGTGAGTTTGGTATGGTGAAGCACGTTAAAGACGCTGTCCTAAAGCCTTTGTAGCCTCCCTACATGCAGGTGCTGACGGTCTACAAGACTCCAAGATACGACCTCTTGTACACAAACTCAAGATCCGCTATGAGCACATTCATAGACAGATATAGGTATCCAAGTCACATAACCATTGCCCAAAATAATAATAATATAAAGTAGATAATATATGTAAAAGTAGAAAAGGAGAGAATTAGAATGTGTATGTGATATTCTGATAGTGTATTGTGTGTATTTCAAATGTGAAGGAGGAGTGACCTTTTATAGGCATCCAAAAACATGTAACCTACACCAACCATAAAAGTTCACCAACCAAAAAATTAAGGCATTCACCAACCATAAATAAAACCTGAATATTAAATATTTATAACCCCCACAATAAATAAAATAAAACATCCAAAATAATTAAATAAATAAAATGGTTAGATTTTTAAAACCTTTTAAAATTCCAACAACTTTTTCTTGATGTACAATAAGCTCATACATATATGTGGAGGAAAGTCATGGAGCGGTAGACTAAAGCCACAATAATTTGCCGGTCTCCTATCTTCTTTCAAAGACATATTGTTGATGGCTCATACCATCATTATGAGCCGAGCCCCTCAGAAAGGACCATACGGCACAAGATGCTGACACCTTCATACAAATACCGAGCAGAGCATATACAGAATACCATGTCTCATAAAGTAAAGCTTCGTGGGAGAAGCATGGTTACTCAAAGGTTAAAACCTATGATTGGGTAGGCAGGACTGACCCGACCACCATGGCACCATGACCAACTAAAATGAGCATTTAATGAAGCCTAAAAGGTCGGTTCTGACAAACATCCCATCATTAAAACAGGTGTCGCCTTACTCTCTGGTCTCCGAATAAACAGACTGGCGATGGGAATGGATCATTTAATCCACCTCTCATCCAGATCCACCTGTCACTTTGCCACCTAGTTCGTGTCAGAGAGTAGGATGATTAGAAGCAGAGCAATAAATGTGAAACTCAACTTAGGGGTATAGGGAGAAAGATCTCTCCCATAAAATATCTTAGGTCCTCCTTCCTCCCTCATAAATACTCCCCACTTATCTCTAGACAAAGTTAATAAATCCTCTCATTGTAAAAATCATACATCCATTCTCTCCCCAGCTCAAGTTAGTTTTTAATTTAACCAGTCCGCCCTTATTCTGATACCATTCGAAGTGTGCAGATTTTTCCGTGGAAATCTCTCATACTCTAAAGGTCCAATACGGGCCCAAGCCCCGGAGAGGGCCCAAGTCATCTATACAAGAAGGATACGTGGATAACACATATCTACGCAAGTAATCACCCTTTGCTTTGAATACGAAGTGTTTAAACCCAAAGTTGAAATTGCTTCTCCCAAAGTACGAGAGTGTGAGCCTTGAGCGATAGCGTTACAGCTCCCACATCGACAAGAGAGCAAGAAGTCGGTAGTCTATGTAGAATAAAGCAGAGCAGCGTGTGTGGGTCTAAATCACGGAGCTATGCATTGAGCACAAAGTGGTTGTTTGGTACGGCGGACTGTTATGGATTGGATTAAATTTTGGGACTGTTTCATATTAGTTTGAATTGGCCTAAGCTAAGTATTGACCTACGTTTGTTGTTGCATCGGACTAAGAAGCTGGATTGTAAAAATAGTGAAGACTTATGTTTGGTGTTGTGTCGGACTAAAAAATAATTCTTATAATTTTTAAATTTAATTGGGGTTTTTTACCTAAAAGATAAATAAATGCTACAAAGAAACCCAATTCAAAGATTTATAATAATATCTGGCAAAAAAAAAATTTATTTAAAACAATAATAAAAAGAAAACAAACAAAATTCTTTTTATTTTATTTTTATGAAGAATAAAATTATGATAGTTGTTTTTTGGCTTCTCAAGATTAATCTTAGTTGGTCGAAACATTGTTAAAGGAGTTAAGCTCACTCTATATAATTCTAGGTTTTTGAGGGACCAAGTAAAACAATGATTAAAAAAAATTATATATATATATACATATACATGTATAATTTTTGTATATTTGACTTTTGACTTCAAACTAAAAAATATAATTTGACAAGGTAAAAATTGCTTGCGATAAAGAAAGCATCACATCATAAATTATTAAACTTGTTTCAATATAAAAAAATATCAAACATTTGTAAATTACTATAGTTTGATTTTCCAAATGCAATATCAAAATAATTATTTTAATATTTAAATTTAATTAAAGATTTTTATCTAAAATAAATAAATTTTGCAAAAAGAAACCCATTCAAAGATCTAAAACAATAATTAAAAGAAAACAAATAAAATTCTAATATTTTTTTAAAGAGAGACGTCGGACTCACGTGTTCTATTTAGTGAACCACTTTTCAGACTCACTGTATTAGACGAGCGAGTGAGACGTTTTTTTCACTATTAGACTATACAGTCTCATTTAAGTTAGTCATATCTCTTACCAAAAAAGGGTTTCAAGTGCTATTTAACCCAGTCCAGTTTAGGGAGGCTACCAAACATGACCAAAGCGAACTATTCTTTTGCCTTTTACTAAATGGCATACGCCTATTTTTTGATGGGTGCGCCTCTATAGGTGACCCTTACAATTCAATTAATATCTTTTTATTCTATTACTTTATTTTTACCTATTTTAATTCTACTATCTGAAACCTCTCTGGGGTTTCTGTGGAAAAATTGAAAATCTAAGAGGGATACAAGATCAGGTTATACACAACATTTGACATCATATCAGAGAAAAACTTAATCTGAGAGGGTATACGAGATCAGGTGATACACGATATTTGACATCATATCAAATCACAATTTTTTCTTTGTCGGCAAAAGTGGTCTTAAAAGTATAACCATACATGAGCAACTATGATTCACAATGCATTAACGATTCACAATTGTTCACAACTTTATTGTATTTCACTACCAACAATGCTTTGAACAAAATCCAAGACAACCACCTAAAATTGTGAGGAAAAAAAATATAGGAAAGAAGGGACATTAAGTTCGATGGTAAAGATGAATAAATTTCACACCTACTATTGTCCTTACAGCTTCTTTATATGGCTCCATCAACAGCCAAAAATTCCAGACGTTTTCCTTCATGTAAAATAAGTTCATACATACATGTTGAAGTCATGGAGCGGTGAACTGAAACCACAATAATTTGGTCGCTCTCCAATTTTCTCTGAAATGCTTATCTATGAAAGTAAAGTGAACCACCAGGAAGTATGGGCTTCGAATCCCCAGTGTTTAAGCCCAAAGTTGAAATTGCTTCTCTATATAAAAAATGTTGATATTTGAGGTGAAAGTATGAGAGAGCCATGAGTGATAGCGCTACGAGTCCCACATCGACAAAAGAGCAAGAAGTAGGCAGTCTCTGTAGAATAAAGCAAAGCAGCATGTGAGGGCCCAAATCACGGAGCCATGCGTTGAGCACAAAGCGAACTATTCTTTCGCCTTTTACTAAAGAATACCGTGTGCTCGTCGCTTTAAATGGCATACGCCTATTTTTGGAGGGGCGCACCTCTGTGGGTGCCCCTATAATTTAGTCATGAAATTCTGAAATTCGTTTAAATCAGGGCAAGCAACGTGCGGATAAAATCCAGTATCTGTTATCCGTTGGATCCTAACATAGTGGGCCTCTTTGAGTCCCACAACCATACAGCCTTGTGAGGAATCCCAGCTAAGGTCTCGGGTTTAATTTATGAGTTTAATATATAATCTTTTCTTAATAAGAAAAATTCTTTAAAATAAAAATAAAAAAGCTCTTAATCAAGAGTTAGGTATGGAAGTTCTAGCTTGTATCGAAAAAGAGGTTTAATGAGTAGGTCTGTAAAAATAAAAAAAGCTCTTAATCAAGAGTTAGGTGTGGAAGTTCTTGCTTGTATTGAAAAAGAGGTTTAATGAGTAGGTCTGTATATAAGTTCGAGGAAGGAGCCCCTCATCCTTGTAATAGATAAGGTTCTGAAATTTAAGACTCTTAACTCCAAAATTCCGAGGAAAATCTGGCAAAAGAAAAAAAGGGACCCTAACTTTGTTAGTCAAGCTCAAGATGAATCAAACTCAGACTTGCTAATATCCGTGAAGCTTCCTTGTGTATATAAGCATCCAAAAATTCCAACCCTTTTTTTACTTTGTAATAAATAAAGTTAACACACTAGCGGTGGAAGTCATAGACACATGCTAAAGAAGTCAAGACACATTTGTCATTCTCCTATCTTGTTTCCAAAGGTCGCAGACGTTGTAAGTTCCACATGCACTAGCCGCGGGAAATTATTCAGACATAAGAACGACTAATTATAACACTTTATGTTACTTAATAAATCTATCAGTCGGGAGTATCATTTTGTTTGAAGTTTCTTTCTTAATACAAACACATAAGAAAAGGGAGAATCGAGTATAAGACGACGAAAGTTTTACGAATAAATAGTTTCAACAATTTGAACTATAATTATTTTTTTAAAATTTAGTATAAAGTGTTAGTGAGCAAGTGCGTTACGCATGTATATATTACAAATATAACTTTTTGTTTCTTTAAGCATCTTCAAGGGAAGAGTCAAATGAAATAGGCAAAATTATACTATAACAACTTAGGTGGCATGTTGCCTACCCATTTGTCTTATGAAAAAAATTGGTCATTTTAAGGGAACAGGCAATGCAAGTCTACAAACTATTATTATATTATTTATTTTTATCTTTTACATTTACTATTATATTTTATAAAAAGTATGTGAGAGAGTGGAAATGATATTTTATTGTAAAAATCAAGTTGGGCTCGATATATCTCTTCACTTTGAAATAGGCAATATTGCCTTGTTGGGGAGAGTGTTTATTTTGCTTACCCATTTGCCTTTTCTCTTGGAGCATGAAAATGCTGATGTGGCAAGGGAAATGAGGATCGCTTACTTTTTTGCGGAAATATTTTTGCTCACCACTTTAACCCAAGGTGTACTCTCATCACTATTCTCAACACTTGACACGTGTTCATTGACGTAATTATAGTTAATTTTTTACTTTGCATTTATGGAACCATGGTTATGTCAATAGACAAGTGTCAAATGTTGAGAAAAGTGATGAGGGTACATTTTGGGTTAAAGTGGTGAGCAAAAATGTTCCCCTCTTTTGCCTCTTCACTTGAAGATGCACTAAACCCAAAAGCCCATTTTGGTTCATGGGAAATGAGAATTGGGGATGAGAAATCAATTGCTTTCTTATGTTTAGTAAGTCCATGCATGTGAAATGGTTGCCCGACATATGGGAAAATAAGAGGAAAGTGAAGTCATCCTCTCAACTTGGGTTTTGTTTTCCCTCATCACGGAAAAGTTTGGGAAAATAAGCCAACATTCAATGCACATTTTTCATGACCATTTTATCCCTGTTAACAATTTAGAATTACAATGTATCATTAAATACATTCTTTTTTTATTTGATTTTATATGGCTATAATTAGAAAATTATACAAATTTTGTTTTATATTCCTACTCAAAACAAACATAGGAAATAAAATAAAGTGAAATCTCTCGGTTATTTTCCCAATACTACTAAACATAGAAAATGAATCTTCCATTTCCTATACCCAATGATTAAAATATCGGCCGTGCAGATAATATCGGGCCTCCAATTTACGGATATTTCGGGGGATATATCGTTATCGTTTTAGGTATCGGGAAAAAATCAACAAAAATGACAGATATAAGCATTGAAACACATAATTTTAGTGTAAAACTTTCATAGATGTTATATACATTATCAATGAATGTATTGAACAAATAAAACTCAAAACTTACTAATAATAAGATATACATATGATGAAATATAAGTGGTATGTAATGCGCGTTAATGAAAAGTTTGAAAATAAAATGTTAATTTAAATGAATAAACCATGCATAAATCCATAGTTTGTTTAAATATTGGATTACAAATTAGATAAGTGTCCATCTACATAAATGAAGAGCTCCTATGAGGTTCAAACAATGAGGAACAACCATCTAGATTCATACAATAGTCATACCAAGTCATGTAACTCGAGCAGTTTATAAGCCATGTTTGAACATGGTGCACATAGGTCTCTCTTAAGACCCCTATTGTCCTCCCATATATGAGATAGTTAGGATTAACCAACTAGTAGGTCCATAATCTTTTTTATCATCTTGAGCTCCATAACTAGTTCCATTATAATGAGACATGACATAACCATAGCCATCATAAGATTCATTTGAGTTAGTATTAGGTCTAGTTCCTATGCTCATAGATCCAAAACTGATTGTCCTGTCCTCTTCAAATGGATTGGAGGTATGTGGGCAGTGGACTGTGCATAGATTCTTCATATTAATATATTATAGGGTTCTCGACAAGGATTAGCTATTTTTGGGTTTCAATTTGCTTCAATTAACTTTTAAATTTTTTTTGGGTTCTGTTATGGGTATCGGGAAATATCGGGGATATCGGCAAAATATCGAGGATATCGCACTTATCGGGGATATATCGTCGATACATGGGAAGATATGGTCTTACCCCCCAATATCGGTGTCGACAGTTGAAAATACCGATATATCGGCAGATATATCGGTGTATCGGCCGATATTTCAATCCTTGCCTATACCCTAGGAAATCATATTGAAAATGATTTCTCCTCAAATTCTTTCTGTGAATCAAACGGCACAAAAGAGAAGAAAAAAAGAGTGAAGGTAGTTTATTTTTGGGTGAGTGATGATGACGTGGAAAGTCAGAGAGTAAAACTGGAAAACAAAGCAAAAATCCAAAAAAGTTAGCCAGCCATCGCTAGCCACCTCCCTTTCCTAGCGTCTTCCTCATTCGTTGTGATATTGTCTTCCATCTCTTTTGCTCTTTTCCTCTAATTTTCTTCCCTCTTCTCTGCTCCACTGCTTCAATCTCAGATTCCTCAGCTCAACTTTGAATGAACTCGTAGCCTTTTCCTTTGTCCACTTTCAGAGTCTCCCATGGCGACCTCAATTGAACAAGGTGCTCTGCTCTCCCTCTCTTTCTGTACACATACATATTTTTTAATTTCCAATTAATTTGATAGGAAGAAAGAAAAAAAGATTCTCTGTAGCTAGAGCTCTCAAAATAAATGAATAAACTAAGAAATTAAATACTCAAATGGATTAACAATCAACAACTTGTCAGGTGCCTGTCACTTTGCCCACATGCATAATTTCATTTCCAAAATCAGCTACTTTTTTTGTAATTTTCCTGGAAAGTTCTTCCTTTCCTCTGAACCAAACAGGTTTTGTAACTTTCAATTTTGTGATTATTGAACTTATAGGAGGAGCTGATAGGTACTTAGAGAAAGGTCTGATGACTCCAACACAGAACCAAAACCCTCTGGCCGAGCCATCGCCATCGCCATCGCCATCGCCATCGCCATCGCCGTCGGCGACGGCATCGGCACCGGCGTTGGTGCTGTCCAACTCCGGCAAGCGCATGGACCAGGCGGGAAAGAAGAAGTACGTGAAGCAGGTCACGGGTCGCCACAACGACACTGAGCTCCACTTGGCAGCTCAGCGCGCCGATCTAGCCGCCGTACAGAAGATTCTCGGTGATATCGATTCGCAGATGGTGGGGACCGTCAGTGGGCCCGAGTTTGATTCGGAGGTGGCTGAGGTCCGGGCGGCGGTGGTGAATGAGGTGAATGAGCTGGGGGAGACTGCCTTGTTCACGGCCGCCGATAGAGGGCATCTTGATGTTGTTAAGGAACTGTTGAAGTACTCAAATAAGGACAGCGTTACGAAGAAGAACCGCTCGGGGTTTGATCCCTTGCATGTAGCTGCATGTAAAGGACGCCATGGTAATGATCTTCAGCTTTTATGCTCTTTTGGATTTTGAACTCCTTATCTAATTTTAATTATTTGGTTTGTGAATTTGGGTATCTGTGGAACTTTTTTTGTGGTGAAGATTGCAAGAGGGTTATTAGGATTAAAGTTCGCTTTTTGGAGATGTTGAGATCTGGCTATGTCATTTCTCTTGTTTTTATAGTTATTTAACATAATGGGCAATAGAGTGTATATCGTATGAGCAAAGCTGCACTGGAAATTGGAAGTACTGATTATTTAGTTTGCAAGTTTTATGATTTGAAAGAATGATCAATTTTGGTTGATGGAGTGTCCAACTGTTTACTGCATAAAATACTTGCCACTGCTCTTATTTTCTCATCAACAATACAGGCTATCAATGTTTTGAGATATTCATTTATAGAGAGTGAAGCATTCAAGATTATGGTGTATTATAAACTATGTCCTTGTGTGGACACACACACGTGTTAACATTGTCATATGACAATTGTCTCCTGGTTCTGTTGGACAGACTTTAACACTGGTTTTCCTAAACCTTCTGATACCTCTACTAGTTGCTTCTGCCCTGGTTCTTTGTCTATGCTCACATAATGATTTCTTTCTAGTCCAAGTAAAATGAAAGTTAGAGCTCCCATGGTCTGAATGCTACTGTGCCGTTGGACAATACATTCATACTCCCACTTTTCTTGCAGCCATCGTCCAGGTACTACTAGATCATGACCCTGGGCTAAGCAAAACAATTGGCCCATCGAATGCAACCCCACTTATATCTGCAGCTCAAAGAGGGCATATAGCGGTAGTTGATGAGCTGCTGTCAAAGGATTGTACCTTGTTGGAGATTTCTAAATCAAATGGGAAGAATGCATTGCATCTAGCTGCGAGAGGGGGGCATGTGGAGATCGTAAGAGCATTGCTGAGTAAGGATCCACAATTAGCACGAAGAACTGACAAGAAAGGGCAAACTGCATTGCATATGGCTGTAAAGGGGACGAACTGTGAGGTGGTGAAATTGCTTCTTGAGGCAGACCCTGCAATTGTCATGCTTCCCGATAAATTTGGTAACACAGCATTGCATGTAGCCACCAGGAAAAAGCGAGCAGAGGTACTTTATATATGGGTTACTCTGCACCTTCATCTTAACTGATGTATCTTTTGAATGGTATATGGTTGTGAATTCCAATTTCTTTAATATAGTAACGGTGGCCGTGAGTCAATGATGCTTTAAGTAATTGCATATTATGAAGCCTTAGTAGTTTTGCAGATCTCAGGCTGAGTTTTATTTTTAAACTTATACCATGATACTTTTTGGCGGCATGGTTTATGGAAGGGAAAGTTTTTTTTTATATTTTATTTTTTTAGGATGATAGGAATAGTTTGATACTGAATAGTTTATGCCCTCTTCTAGTGGATGCAGAAAGCAAAAACATATATCCTTGATATTGTACTAATTCAAGAAAGAATGTCGGTTTCTACTATGTAAGGCAAATTATGTATCTGCTAGTGTGAATACTGCTTTTTTCCCTTTCTTTTAGATTTACTCCTTTGCCATTTGTAAAATCCTTTCTCCAGCCGTGTGATCCTTGCACATGGTTGCTACAATATGAGCTATTCTTCTTTGGCAATTTCCTTTTGTGATATAACTTGATTTGTATGTGTTAATATAATTGGGATGAACTATGAGTTCTTATTTGCTAGTCTGGTGTGAACGAAATAGTTAAGGTGGCTAAAAATTGGCGTCAGTATTCACGTTGTTTCTCTGAAAAATTGGGTTAAGGGACCTTTATCATATTTTCTGCACTTCTTTTTAGCTTTGGTTCAAGCTGAACTAGCATAGCCGTCAGTTCTTGCTTTCATGCTTGCGCATCTCCATTACAATTATAGATCTATCTGTAATGATATTTTTTCGCTGTCCTTGCAGATAGTGAATGAGTTGTTACTCCTCCCAGACAGCAATGTTAATGCACTGAACAGGGAGACGAAAACAGCTCTTGACATTGCTGATGCACTTCCACCTTCTGAAGAATCCTCGGAAATAAGGGGTTGCCTCTATCGCTACGGTGCTGTCAAGGCTAATGAACTGAACCAACCAAGGGATGAATTGAGAAAAACAGTGACTCAGATCAAGAATGATGTTCATATCCAGCTTGAACAAACAAAGAAAACCAATAAAAATGTTCACAATATTTCCAAAGAGCTCAGAAAGCTCCACAGGGAAGGAATCAACAATGCCACCAACTCAGTCACTGTGGTGGCTGTTCTATTTGCAACAGTTGCCTTTGCAGCTATCTTTACTGTGCCAGGTGGTGATAAAGACAATGGGACGGCTGTGGTAGTGAAGAGTGCTCCTTTCAAAATATTCTTCATTTTCAACGCCATTGCTCTCTTTACATCGTTGGCTGTTGTGGTTGTTCAAATTACCTTGGTCAGAGGGGAGACAAAAGCGGAGAAACGGGTGGTGGAGATAATCAATAAGTTGATGTGGCTGGCTTCCGTGTGCACTTCAGTGGCTTTCATGGCCTCCTCTTACATAGTGGTAGGCCAGCGCCATAAGTGGGCTGCAATTCTGGTAACAGTTGTTGGGGGAATGATAATGGCCGCAGTTCTTGGCACCATGACATATTATGTGGTAAAATCGAAGCGGATTCGTTCCGTGAGGAAGAGGGAGAAGCATGCAAAGAGGAGTGGTTCCAACTCATGGATGCCCTCTGACTATTCCAATTCGGAAATCGATCGAATTTATGCCCTTTGAATTTGATGTGTGAAATTTTCACCCTTTGCAAAGTTTGTGAAGGATTGTAGAGAGTAAAAACACTAAAACAATGGATGTTGAATAACAGCAATATATTTGTTTGTCCCACTTTTCTTCTTGTTGGTACTACATTTGTAAACTCCACTTGTTCTGTAAACATATCTCAAATACGTCTCCCCTTGGTTTAACAGCCAGGTGGTGTCTTTTGCTAGATTAGTCTTGTATGTGTGTTTGGGATTTTTCTTTCTTTTTTTTTCTTTCTAAAAATGTCATTTTACGATAACTGCTAATAGTTTAAGGTCCGTTAAAGACCTTTGTGTTTTTGCCTTTTTTTTCTTTCAAGATATAGAAATATAGCTATTCAAAACCCCTTCTTGAATAGTGTTTTTTTATTAATTTTTAGGACCTTTCCTATTAAGAGCAGCGATAATATACTGAGCGCATACACACTACACTGATACTATGACTTGAATCCATGACTTTGCCTGAGGGAGCAATTGCTTCAAACCACTACAGTGGGTTCTTTGCCCTTTTTGAATAGTGCTTGAACTCTCTTTGAGTGGTAAAATTCTAAAATCACTTTCCCCTTTTTGAATAATGCTTGAACTCTCTTTGAGTGGTGAAATTCTAAAATCTACTGAAATTTTAAATTTTGAGTTTAGACAAGAAACTTGTAGCTCAAATAGCTAAGAGCATGCACTCAAGGTCCAGTGTTAGAATTCCGTTTTTACACTTGTATTAAAAAATAAAGGCTTTTTATCACAAATGGTGTCCTTCACGTTTACGAAATTATCACGAATGGTCTTTGAGGTTTTTTTGTGACACTAATAGTCCTTAACGTTTGAGCTTTTTATTACAAATGGTCCTTGCCGTTATAACTTCTGTTAAGTATGATGTGGAAAATAAATGGAGCCCACCTGTCCAATTACATTATGACATGTGGATAAAAAATAATTAAATATTTTTTTAATGAAAATTACTTTTTTTTTCTGTAACTTTTCATCCCCTTCCTTATTACTCCGTCTCTCTCCCCCTCTGCCCTCACTCTCCATCTCTGCTCGCAACCCACAACCCATGCCCAACGAATCTCTTCTTGCAACCCACCTATTCATGTTTACTGGTTTCATGAGGGTGCAGTGGTGCTCAGGATGAGGTTCGAGATGGCTTTTGAGACTGAGGACTCTTCTAGGATCAGCTGGTTCATGGGTACCATTGCTTCTGTTCAGGTTTCTGACCCAATTCGCTGGCCCAATTCCCCTTGGAGACTTCTATAGGTATTGTATTGTTCTGTGATTTGGTGCTCAAATTGTACTTCGTTTTTAGAATTTTGTTGTCTTTTTTTTTCCCTGAGGTTGTGTTCTTGGGGCTGCTCTTGCATGTTGTCTTGTTTGGTTTGTTGGTAGGGACTAGGGAGAGAACAATCAGATTTCTCCTCCCACGTATCATGTCATGTCTTGCATCTTTTGCCTTGTATCAGTTTGTGAAAATTCTTGAATCCGGGGTCTCGAGATTTTGGCTCTTCTCATTTGGTTAGATGTGCTGAAATGTTTTTGAGTGAATCAGAGTGTTTTTAGCTTTTTGACCCATTTGCAGGGCTAAGAAAAAAATGATTTACAACATGCCAAATTCACAGTTTTTCATCTCCCCATCTTATTTTGGCGAATTGCTGCAGTTCTTGCTTCCTTTATGTTTGTTGGCCACCATCCTTGTGTGATAGGGCTGTGAGAAGAGATTCGTTGGGCATGGGTTGCGGGTTGCGAGAAGAGATGGAGAGCAAAGGGTGGAGAGCACCTGTATCTTATATTTTTTCTTGAAGGTGGCAGTGGGAAATAAAAAAACAGAGGGAGGAGAGGACAGGGAGAAGAGATGGAGAGCGAAGGATGGAGAGTGAGGGCAGAGGGGGAGAGAGACGGAGTAATAAGAAAGGGGAATGAAAAGTTGCAGAAAACAAAAATGGAATTTTCATTAAAAAATTATTTAATTATTTTTTATCCACATGTCACAATGTAATTGGACAGATGGGCTTCACTTATTTTCCATGTCACACTTAACAGAATTTATAACGGCATATATTATTTGTGATAAAAAGCCCAAACGTTAAGGACTATTAGTGTCACAAAAAACCCTCAAGGATCATTCGTGATAATTTCATAAACGTGAAGGACTATTTGTGATAAAAAGCCAAAAATAAAAATTGGATAATTAAAGAAATCATGAGTAATTAAAGAAATAAAATAAGAAAAAATAAGTCCAACAAGTCAACAAAGATGACTAGTAAGTAAACAGAGGAAAGAGGCCCGCAAACGACGTCAAAGTCGCGCGCTCGCCGTTCTCAGCTGAAAATGGTTCGAATCCACGTGAAGCACGGCGACGGCTCCGACCAAAAGGAGTTCCTCTACGACTGTTCAACCACGTCGCCAATTGAAGAAATTGCCCCCGAAATCTCGCGAATTTCCAATCTTCAATCCAGGATCGACCGCCTGGTTTTCGAGCTCGAACCTCATTTGGAACCCCTCCAAGGCGACGCAAAAGGTTCAAAGACTAACCATTTCGCTAAAAACAAATCGCTAACACAAAGCGTCGATCTCAGAGTCACTCACTTACTTGTTCATTACTAAAATGCAGCTGTTTCTCTCCTTAGAGCTTTATCTGAAGCCAAATCCTATGCTTCAAAGGTAAAGCAAACGCTTTGAGGTTGAATTGTTCTCGAAAACGAAAACCCATTGATAAAGTATGGATTTTCATAACAGGACCAGGTTGTTCACAATAGGCCTTTGTCTTATCATGTGCTAAGAAACAATGTACAAGCCCTAGAGAGAGAGCTCAACTCGGTTCCTCAGTTTCAGAAACTGTTAGCAGGTAACTCTTTTGTAGTTTTTTAATTATGTTATTACAATCAGGAAAAAGTTTTGATTTTTATAGGAATTTGAAAATTTACAGACGTTGAATCTAGTGGAGAGGATTTGAGGCAGGTTTGTTGGGCCGGGAAAGTGCTTGATAGAAGTAAGCGGTTATGTGATTATATTGGAGCCAATGAGAAAACAAAGGTAATTAGTACTTTCTAGTAATTAGTATAGATTGCAATTGATTTCACCATGTTACGTGAGCCCAAGTTTTGAAATTTGTAGTGGTAGAGAGATAGCATGGTGTGTAGTTTGTTTAAGCTTTTAATGTTTTGTGGGAAAGAGATAACTTGGTATAGTTGTTTTGTGGCAGATTGTTATCAAGCTGCAGTCAACTGAGTCGTGTCCTGTATAATTAGTGGTAAATGTGGCAAATGAATCAGCTTAACTCTTCCATACATACTTGTCTACTTGTATGTTTGTGTATGTCTTTTTGTGTTGCACAAGTGAGTGTGTGTTCATGTGCATGATTGAATTGATTTGCGTTCAGCAAACGGCAAGATGCATCCGAGGGACCACAAATGCCTGCGATGATGGACGCTGATAGACCAAGGCACTTGATTCTCAAACAAGTTACAGGTCTACAGTGCACTGTCAAATTATAATGTAAATTCTTCCTCATCTGGTTTGTGTGTTTTTGGATGGATGAGAATCCCAAGAAGAATGATAAGAGATTTTGAATTTGTGATGCATTGACAATATCATTGTCTTTAAGTACAGATGACAGTAAGCTGTATGATCATATTCAATGACAGGCTAGTTTACCTTTGTTTTGGAGTGGAATTTGTGATTTCTTATATGGATATTTGGATTTATTTAGCTGTTTAAAAAGGTAAATGAAGAGTAGCAATCTGCGTGTTTGCGTATGTCATATTTATATATGACAAGGATAAGGGATTGATTGAAGAAAGAAAATGTCAAATAATTGTTTCATCCAGAGCTTGAGCTAGCAGACAGAGTTCAACTAGCACAAGGATTGTTATCCAAACCTCTCAGGTTATAGGGACAGCCTGGTGATGAATCCACCAACTTCCTAAGGCCTGTTCATAGTTCAAGCCAAAATATTAATAAAATTGAAAATAAAACATTTTTCGCTTCAGTTGGCCTTTCAACTATTGTTTCCAAGATCAAAGTCGTCATCTATGCTATTGACACAGGATCCTGAACTCCGCCTAAGCTATTGCATTCTGGCAAAATCTGTTTCAATCGGTATCAAACTAATCACTAGTTAAGCACATAATTTTCCACTGTATAATTGTGAAATCAAAACTTTTACTTAAAAAGTCTATGCAGTTATGCATCTTTTACTGATCTCTGTTAGAAATTGAGAATAGAATAATTGTTGCCGCATTGATGTGTTTTGTACTGATCTTATTAGGCTAAATGGGAATGGATGCTGATGCCTTAGCTTTCTATGCTAATGTTGCGGCTTATGTGAAATTAAAACTATTAAGAAGGCAAACTGATTTAACAATCCAGCTGGTCTGCAAGGCCTACCATTTCCTTCTTTTGTCCCTGATAACATTTAAATTTGGGTGGGGAGAAAGGTTTGTGGTTAGGTGCATATCTGTTAACCTATAGTGCTCAACAACATCAATTGAACTTTTTAATTGCGTTCTTTTGTTCTAATCCTGTCAAATTTTCGGCTGACATGTTCACTTAATTTAAGGTTTATGTTGCCCACTAGGAGTATCTGGGAAAAGAAAAGGGGAAGGAAACAAGAGCCAACAAAAGGCTCTTTCTTTTTGCACTTCCAAATATCTTCTTATATTAAATTGTTGAACATTTATTTCCTCTTGTCAACTTAGTAATTTTTTTCACAATGTCCTGCATTTGAAGAAGGCAGAGTCTAAACTCTTTTTTTTTTTTTTTTTTTTTTTTTTTTTTTTGTTTTTCTTTAGATTTTATAATCCATGTAGTAGTAGCGAAGAGTACATATAGTTTATTTGTTGATCCAAGAATCATTTTGTATGGAGGCTGGTGTCTTTTAGCTACTCCTGAAGGGTAGATTGGGTTTTTCTAAACTCGTGATTCGATGATTGGCTGCAACGTAATGATGTTGATATTAGCCTAATCTAAGGTACTTTGCAGTTAAATATTCATCAGGGAATGATGCCGGCTCATTTGAATATATGGTTTCTTGGATTAAATTAGCTATCAGTATATGATGAGAATAATTTTTTTCTTTTGTGCCTTTGTCATCTGGAAACAGAAGTGAAATTAGGGTTCTTATATCTCAGACTGTAAGCTTGGACTATTTGGGACCACAATTATGATGAAGATGGTCATCTACCTCCTCTCTATCTAGTATTCAGACTTCGTAATTTTCATTTCAAACAGTTACCTGACGATTTTTATTTTTCTACTATTCATTTAGATTTTTTATTTGTACTGCGTACCTTTCCTTACTTTTTTTCTTTCAATTGAGTTGTACAGTGCGCCTTGATTCAGGAGTATATGTAAAAGATATGTTTTATTGTTTTAAGTTCTTTTTATATTGGAGAATGCTACTTATCCCAACTTTTCTTTCCCACTTCACTTGATTATGACGTCTTAAAAGTATCAGTTCAGAAATTTATTAGCTACAGCAATGGATTTTGCTGAGTGAAACAACTTTCAGAGGGTTACATGATGTCGTCTTAGAAAATAATTACAAACCATGAAAGTAGCAGATGATTTAAAAGACATCAATCAATCAATAATGTTGAATGCCTGCTGATTTGAAGGCTCTAAATCTGTACTGATAAGTACTCATATTATAATTTAGGTCTAGGACAGAAGAACTATTTGGCTTTTAACAAACTTTAACTGGATCTCCTGCCATGAGAATTTCTGACAGCCATGCACTGAATCAAAGCATACCCATTATCAAATTTATGAAAAGCCAAAACAAAAAAAAAAAAAAAAAAACAATAACCCAAGCAAAAAGTTTGTACTTTGTACACACCCTCCATCTTTCTCTACTCACTCAGAGCGCCATCAGCCCCTGCAAAGATCTGGTCTCTCTTGGTCCTCACAAGCTGCTATCCGGGAAGCTGACGTTGAGTAAAACCCAACTTCGCTTACAGTCTTTCTTGAACGAAGTGGTTGCTGAGACTGCTTGCAATGCGCAATTGCCCCCTGAATTGAACTCTCAATTTCTGAACTTGCACTGTTGCATCTCTTCAGAAACTGCAGCTCCTGAGTCCCATTTGAATGATTTGAAAATGAAGATGAAGAAGAGCCAGATGATGATGAAGAGGACGTTGAGTTCTTTGTCGAATGCCGTTTGATGGCCAGTGAGAATGATCTTCTGTGAATACCAGCACCATCTTCAATGATCTTGTCTTTGTTGAAGCTCCTCGTGCCGGAAGCAGACATCCGGCATTTGTCTTTGTGAATTTGTCCAAATGGATTCTTCTTGGCCGCCTTCACATATTTACTTAAATCCTCAGACTTTAAAACCATTCCTCCATCTGCATTCTTAGCAGCTGCTGCACTGTTCTCATCTGAGCAACCAGATTTCCCAAACAGAGACTTGAGGTAAGCCCGGGAAGCCTTCAGCTTTGACCCCAGTAATGACTGCTTGAACTTTTTGGTCCATGATTTTTTCGGGTTTTCATGGATAAAGCCACTCACTTCAGTTGCATACTCCAAAATATACTCTTCTGGGTTCAGTTCTCTGCTAACCTGGCAAGATTCAGAAGGTGAGATGTTGCAGGATTCAAATGGGGTGCTGGTTGTGGTTGGCGTTGGGGCAGCAGTGTTCATCAATGGAGTGCTATAGAATTCTTCGAACATATCTTTTCGAGTGTCGTAAGAAGAACTGGAGTTTTGCAGTAGTTTTTCAACCATTTGTAAACGAGGGGGAAGGTGGAGGGGAAGGAGCTTTCCTTTGTAGAAAAGCTCATCAGCTGGGGAAGTTGAGGGGGGCTCTCTCTCTAGGGAAATGGATGACATTTGAAACTCAAACTCTCTGGGGTGTGGAGGAGAGCTCATGGAGTGGCAGAGGTAGGCAGAGTATGAGCTCACTTCCATGTCGATGTAGTCGTCGTCTGCATGGTCACAGGATACGTTATCAACGGCCATGATCACTTCTGTTCTGCTGTTTGAAGAGTTTTAGCTTACTGCAGGAAGTGGAGCTTTGTGGAGGGTTTGAAGGTATTATGCGACCTTTAAAGCTTGTCCATGATGCCAAGTTATAGACGGAAATAACTGTATTTGAGAATTTTTTGAATCCTCAGAATTTCCAAATATAAAACTCCATGTGTGGACCATTTTCTGTTGGACCAGCGCTGATCCATTTCTTTACTCACTTTTTTCTTTTATCTATGATTGATAAATTTTTGGTTGTTTGTTATTATTTGCAAAAGGAAAAAAAAAATTGAGTGGGTGATAAGTTTTATTGGTTTTACAATGCAAATTATGCAGTAATGCTGGCATCATTTCTCTCCTGGGCTCAGATTTCCCCTAGAAGCACTATATTTAGCATCATTATAAGACTTTAGTTTGTTGGGACCATTTATACACCAATCCAAGTTCCTAACTTCAGAAAAAGAAGAAATATTGTGGTCAAGCACCATGATTAAAGGATTAGTACCTACTGATGACTTGCTTTAACTCCTTAATGATCTTCAACTTGGGTTAATTGAGAGAAGATTTCATTCATTATCTGAAAATAACCAACAATGCCTGCATTTGACAGCAGTGGACTAGCAGTCAAGGAACAGTAAACCCACCAGTGCCTCCTATTTTATTAGTGAATTAAACACTCAAACATTTAGGCGCATGCACAAGAAAACAAGTAAATATTTTTCTCAAACTCTCCACCTTTTAAAATTATATTTAAACTCAAGACCAACCCACATCTCAAAACCTGGCTTTTCTGCACTCCAAGAACATAAACAAATCTTCTCTCTCCCTCTCTCTTTCACTCAAAGAAAACAAAACTTGGAACAGCTTTTCTGATCAGTAGAGTAATACTAAATACTTGGAGCTGAAGAATCACTTTATCTCTTAATTACTCAGAAAACAAAACTAAAGAACCACTTTTAAGTACTTCACCTGATCTGCTACTTTTACTGGATTCCTGGGTTTCTTTTCTTTGATTTTTTTATTTTTACTTTTCATCTGTCTTGCTTCTCAAAAGCTAATGATTAAATTTTCTTCAACATTCTTTTGTTTTCTGTAAAATGAAACAGAAAAAGAAAAAAAGGTAGAGAAGATTTTATTGTAGTGAAGGAGAGAATTGTCAACCTCATAAAGAGCCAACACACAACCCGACATTTGGTGGTGGGAAAGGGAAATTCCGGATGCAATGCCTGCGAGTCTCGAGACTTTTTATTTGTCTACTCCTTTTAACACACTCCCCATCTTTATTTTCCATCTTTTTCTCTTGTTTTCTTTCATTTGCTTATTTTTAACCACTAACAGAGCAATGGGATTCCCAACCTTTTTCAAAACCCAAAATGGTTGGTTATGGCTCTTCTGTTAGCCTATTCTATTCTCAGACACACTTCCTCATCACTTATTAGCTACTAAAGTTGACCATATAATAATTTGTTCAGTTTGGTCTTATTTTGAAGCAATGATTCTTATTAACGTCAGTCGTTCACGCACTAATGACACTACTTTCAACCATTAATGCATTGTGAGCTGATTGGGAGCAATCCATTTACCTCTTGAGCAAACAAAACTCTTGTTGGTAATCCTTATCAAATTCTGAATTGTCATTGAAATGTATATTACCAGGGGATGCAAAACTGAAAACAAACAGAAGCTCAAAAGAATTGAATTGTTTGAAAGAAAGAATAAAAAATTTGAATTATTTTGTTCTTTTTCCAGACAGCCGGCACTAGAAAGGATGCACAACTGCCCTCCTGTAGTAAGCATTCATAAATGTGTTTTTTCTTTGCCTTGGGTCCAGACTCCAAAATGTACATTTAAATACAACCAAAGCAAAGATTTTAAGGGTTTGATATGTCAAGACCCCCCACCCCACTTGGATTGGATTGGATTGGATTGGACATGACCTGCCCCAAACCCAACTCCACAAGCTCTTATTCTCCATATCCAAGTCTAACTCTTGAATCACCAAATAACCAAGATATTGACATTACGCAAAGACAAATTCTGTCACAAATCATATTGAATAGCATAGAATAGCCACGAATTCCATATGTATATGAGCCCACAACCCTGAATCCAGGATGCTTGAGTTTTCTGATTGGTTCAAGGATTTGACATGTAGAGCCTCTCTGGCTCTACTATTGGGGCACCTGGCATCCCACCAGCACCAAGAATTGCAACAGCAGCTAAGCAGCTTCAAGCAAACCTCTATTGGAAGTCATTTTAGAGACAACCTTTAGAGAGGATTTTTGGGTGGAGAAATTCCCAGCCCACTAGCTTATGTGCCCTTGTGCTGAACACACAGGAGGCCCTGCATAATGATGGTGCTCTTGAAAGATAAAACAAAATTTATACTTCTATATCAGGAAACCTTTTCAAAGCTACATAAACAAAAAATCTCGAAACCCCACTTTCTTCTCTGGACTCCTCCGTTTGTGATTGAGGAAGCATGAGAGGCCCCCTTAAACATTAGGTGGGCATCACCAACTTCAGGGAAAAGAAGAAATTGTAGCCACATTCTCATTCATATTGAACAGTGCTACGAAACTCGGTGCCCGTACACAGAAAAAATAAAATTAAAAATTGACCAAGAAACTCCTGTGGTTCACCAGCTACATCCAAATTACACCTTTCATTCACTTATATTTCATATTCGAGCATATAGGTTCGAGAATTTAAAGAAGGATTAAATTAACAAATTGATAATCCGTCACTTGTTACAGATAAGTTACAGAGAAAAGTATGTGTGGCTTTTTGGAGGTCAGGTACAGAGTTATATATCATGTTTATAATACACAGGTTTTTTAAGAAACTTGAAATGACGGTGACCCAGCCACCATAAGTATTGGGGTCTATTTGGCTTTTGATGAATCACCAGATCTTAGTTCCCTTTCAAGCTCGTCGAATTCCCAGTCACCAATCTCTTCTGCCGAGTAGTCTTGACCAACCTTGCCAAACTCCGATTCCAGCTTTGCTAGTTCTGCTTCAGTGTCAAGCATTTGCTCTGCCTTCACTTTACCTGACCCAGGATGCTTATCTGTATCAGCTCTCTGTGCTCCTGTGCTTTCTGTTGGGAGAGTAGATGGACCACTCTGCGGCTTTTCACTAGATGAAGTTTCTGATTTTGGGGTTGGATTCTCCAGTTGTAGATTTGGTCTCTCAATAGCTTCAAATTGCTCCCTTAATTTTTCAATATCATCAAACAGCTCCTTAACCCTAGGGTCATCTTTCCTGGAACAGGCAAGCAAGGTACACATATTCAGGGGTTTTGGTGAATATCTTCAAACATAGTGTACAAAGGAAAAGAGATGATTATACACCCCCACAAGTTCATACCTGGAAATTTCAGCTCGTGGGCCATAAAACTGCTCCTTGATGTTATCTACTACACTAAAGGTGGTAATAATCTGGAGCAAACCAACAATATCAATGTTTGTGCTTGTTAGCATATAAATGTTACTCTACAACACAAACAGAATAGAGCACATTATGGGACCAAGAAAGCATTAGATACTTGAAGCATCCCTAATTCATTACTTTTACAGAATACTTGCAAAAGAAATTTTGGGTCATACGTGATATGCAAAAATTAGACTTTGACAAAGAATATATATATCCATCCATCCTGACTCGTTTATTCATTTCTTTGTTTTCTGAAATTCACATGCTAAGAACAATAACCAATACTCTCATTTTGGGAAACTGAGCAGAACATTTAACTATAAAGGTCACTCCTTTTAGATAGCAAGAAAAACCACAATGTGCTGATAAGGAGAGATCTATGATTATGTTGAACTCAAAGTTTTTCACAACATTTTTTTACCTTGGTTTCGTGGTCCAAATATTCCTCCTCAAGATTATTTATTGGATTTAATACTTTCGAATCTTCGCTTTCTGCAGTAGATGCCATCCTTGACCTGTCTCGTCAGGTCAAAAGACATTAAGAACAAAGCAAGTAAAATGAAGGTGCAACCATCACAGTGCAACAAACAACATTACCCCTCGCTCAAATTCTTTAGGTTCTCTACAAATTTCCCTATACGAATGATAGAAGGCCCCAACTCTTTCTGCATAGAAGATAAAAGGTGTACCTCAAGAGTATCAAAAGAGTTATAGATACATAGACAGACAGACACACACACAGAGACGCAGATATATATACATATATATATATATATAGAGAGAGAGAGAGAGAGAGAGAGAGAGAGAGAGATTCAATACCTTGTAAGCAGAGAGATGATCAATGGCCAAGTTCAAGAAATAGTCCTCATGTTTCTCCAATTCATCACTTAAAATTGCAGAAAAAAAAAATAGTTATTTACACAATAATGTACAGATTTCAAGAAAGAAAACGATCCTACACTTCACAGTTTAAAGGAACAAAATTGCTGACAAAAGGAGCAATGAGCATTTAGCAATCGCATAGAGTTGAAGAACTTACTTGACCTGCTTCTCCTTCATATCTGTATATGAGCGCTGGAGAACCCAAGTATCTTCAAGAAAATTAACCCAAGTCTTTATAATATCTGCCTCTGCCCTACATGAGGCAATGGATTTCGATAGCTCATCTTCCTGATAACAAAACAAAAGTAAATATGTGAATGATGCAAAGGACCTAAAAGTGCAATACCATGAAAGAATCCAGAACGTCACCAGCTCAGGAAAAGAATAACCAAGAAAATAATCTAAACCTTTGCTTCGCAGTGGGAAACAATCTTATTGTTAGCTTCTTCAAATTGTTCCCTCTCTTCCCTGGTATTGCGAAGGCGGGCATTAGCTGCAGCCAAGGAGATATTAACCTAGAACAGATGACTAGTGTTTAGAAGTCACAATTAATGAAGAGAAAGTTAATTTAATATATAAGGAGGAAAACCAAAGCATATAAACCTTTTTCAGTTGAGCCTCAAGATCATCTCGTTCTTTTTCAAGCTCTGTAATCTCAGCTGTTATTTCCTGAAAATGGTCATTGAAACAAAAACTAAAATTCCCTAATCAAAACTTAGGGCATACGTGTACCAACCAAGCATTGCCTCCCTACCACATCTATAACATGGATTTACAAAGATCATGAACCAAAAAGAAAGCTTTTACTCGAGGGAGAAAAATGGAAGGGAAATGGTATATGCACTCGAAATTAGCTTCACACATTCCTCCACGCACTCACATATGAGGATGCAAGAAGCTTCTTTTGAGTGCAAATAATATTTCCCGAAAGAATAAAGAAGCTAAAAATCCTGTTCAACAATATGTTCAACATAATGTATGAATATGCAGAACAGCAAGCATGAAATATCACCAAATACAGGACCTATTTAATAAATCTGAAATTTTAAGTGCAGATTTTTATTGCTGAAGAAACAAGCTGCTGAATTTTTTAATAAAAAGAATCATATTGATAGTATGCAGATGTTAAGAACAGACAATTCATCTGGTTGATTAATGGAAATGACCAAAATCTTAAAAAGAGAGTACACAATATTTGCCACTCTGTCTTCTAATTTTTCTTTTTCTTGATTTGGCTTCATAAAGAAAAATGAAATGACATATTAGTAAAAACATTTTGACATATTTCAAACTTGATAAGAATGCAATTACACACTAAAGACCTCTCTACAGAAATGTGAGTACAAACTTCACGTTGTTACATTTATAGGTAAGTAATGTTGAAGAACAATACCTTCTCTCTTTCACTCACTTCACTTGCTCTGGCTACACGAACTTTTAGTGCCTCCTCCTTTTGAAGTCTGTCATTCATAAGGAACAAAGAAAGTAATTTTGTTTTCCCTAAACCTGGCATCTAATACCAATAATAGATCAAGCACAGACTACATGTCATTACTGTTAATCAAATCAATGGTTTTCACTAGAACTACACAGTTACAAAAAGCAAGGCTTACTGAACCTTCCTATGGATACACCAAGCCAAATCATATAAACTTTCTTTTTAATGTTTTATTAGCTGATAGCTTAACATTTTCCAAAATTTTTTTTTAAAAAGAACATTTTACTATAGTATTTTAGACAACAGGAAGTATATTAATAAAACACACATAAAAAAAAAACAAAAAAAAAAAAAAAAAAAAAAACAACACGATTTAATACTTAAGAAAAAGCAACATAAAACAAATGGTTCCGAAGTGGTTACACCTGTGATCTGAAATACGATTTTCAGCTTTTGAAGAGGAGCTAGCCAGAGATTCTGACAAGACCTTCAATTTATCAACCTGCTTATACAACAAAATAACGTTGGTAACAGGAGCTTTGTACCTTGAAAGGAAATCAGCATTTTCTGGGTGCACAAGCAACAATCAAAGGATCGAGTTGCACTTAATTCAGAAAATATACAAAGCAGAGATTACCAGCAAATACAAGATAGAAGCAAAAGGGAAAAGAATCAGACACAGCATAATCAAGGATGATTTTGTCGTCAAACCATGTAACTAAGTAAGAACCGTGTTTTGGGTCACATCATAAACACTGTCAAATTTTTTACGTATAGGTCCCATAAGGCATTGATTTATTGAACAAGACACAAAAAGTAAACCTTTCACACATTGTGAATCAACAAACAAGCTCCTAGGACTAAACATATATAGTTGCATCCCCATAACTAAATTGGAGGATTTGCAGCATCTAGCATCCCATGTTCATGCTAAATAGACACTTTGTCAACATCTTCAGCCAAAAGCTTGACTGTCACAAGGACCGCACGGCACTGTTAAAACCCTCAAATCAAACAGCTTGAAAGTCACCAGAGATAAAGGCAAGTGCTGCCAACAAATTTAAAACCGTGCTTTCAGATGCATAACCAATTGATAATGGGCAGACCGAGAAATACATACTTTTTGAGCGTGGATCTCAGGAGAATCTCCATTGTTCAACAACCTTTTCTTCAGTAAAAGCCCTTCTAATCTGGAACAAGCTCGAACTTGTGCAAGTGCTTCTTTTAATGCCTACCAGAACTTATGGCTGTCAGATCCATATTTCCATAATTTTTATGCTCATAAAATGTTAAAGAACTTTCATGCTTATGTAAACATTATCCAATTTTACTCATTAAAATTCCATCATAGAGCCATTAGTCTTCTACTTGATGGTATTTGACATCTCTTTGGCACAGTGGTACTTATACCATGAGGCACACCAAAAAATTATAATGACAACCATCCTCACCTCTATTGTTTCCAATTTTGTTTCTTCTGATGCTTTGTCATGACCTTCAGTTGAAGGCTTCAAAGGAGTGGTCGTTGTGTCAAGCTTCTTCCTTAGACTAGAGACTTCTTCATCTATTCTGTAACAAGATGCATTTAAATACATAGGTAAGAAGACATTTTTTGGCCCATGATTGAAGCCTAGCATCATACTTTTACACTTTTTCCAACCAGTATGAATAATTAAATCTCTAAGGTCGCCAGCTACAAAAAATTTATACAAACGAAAGACAAATTTATTTGCATAAGCATATATCTGGCAAGTGCCAGCACTAATCCATATCCAAACAAGAAGGGTAACCCACTTCCTATTCTTCGTTAAAAAAAAAGGAGATTAACATCTATAAGATCAGAGTTTATCATGATCAATTATCAACTGGCTTGGTGATAACTCGTGTCACATCCATTGTTTGGGTGTAAATGTGTGTGGTAAATAAAACTAGGTTATGTAGACATGACATGTTACTCATGAAATTGCTATTAGCTTAATACCTCCCGAGTGCACACACACACACATATACATAGGGAGAGAGAGAGAGAGAGAGAGAGAGAGTCTGTTATTTTTTGCACACCTTATGACATCAGCATTAATCTTTAACCCCGTAATTGCACCTTGTGCAAATTGGAGCAATTCCTCCCGTTTTACCTGAATACAAAGGAAAAGATGAACCAGTATGAGCCAAAAGAAGAACAAGTCTTGCATGAATTGAATGGAGTACTCAATACTCCCATTTGCTTATCTATTCAAAAAAAAAAATACTCCCATTTGCTTATGTAAATCAGAATATTAGAGCTATATACTACAACTTTAGTGGATCTCTGGAAAATAATTGTTACATGAAAAATCCCAGAGGGAAAAGAATGATAATGAATCATATCTAATATAAACTTTATGGAAAACATGTATAAAAATTTCTCCAGAACTTCACATTTGTTGACATGATCTTTAAGAGCACTTTTTTATGTCCTTACCAATACTTCATCTTCATAGCTTGAAAAAGCTTTTTCCAGATCTTGTATACTGCTCACTATTGCATTATGAACTTCTTTTCCTCCAGTAAGACAGAGCCTGCAGTTTCATATAATATTAAGATTTTAAAAAAAGGTCCTAATATGGCTAACCCGAATAAAGAATACTGGCACTTAATAGCCCACAAGCATGCATTACACACAAGTACAGTCTTGCTTCTCACCTAAACATCTCCATGAGCAGGGCAACCTCTTCATCATTCGGACCTTCAAGAATCTGAAGCATAGAAAAGAGTTAACCTGCGGTTAACTTTCATAATCAGCAATTTCAAATTATATAAGATCATTTACACTCATTCCAGTTTTAGATGTGTTAGGTATTTGATGGTAGCGATAAGTTTCCTCGTCATCCTTTTTCCTTCCTTGATTAAGAAAAATCCACCTGGTTTGATTACAGATGGAAACACTACAGGTTTCAAAAACCAAGTGCATATGTGGCAGTGTCTAAGAAAAACCAAAGGCAGGCTGCTCAACAAAATTATCTCCAACTTTGATCATTTTTCCATGATGCTTTCATTAAGTGCTACCCCCTAACTTATGAAACAAGCATTCTCTTCATGTAGAACATCAAGGTCATCCATTTTAACATCACTGGTTTGTTGAGCCAATTCTAAAGCATCATTAGTTTAAAAACGAAAAATAAAATAAAAACCCATTTGGCATAGTTTTTAAAGACATACCATAGACAGTGTTATGCCCTCCATAGCCTGACTTTGAAGAAACACTTCGCGGAAAGTCATGGGTTCACCTCCAACATCAGAGTCATAGTACAAAACCTATTCACATTATCAAAAAGCATAAGATTCTACTGCAAACTGGACTACAATGAACCCGAAAAAGCTGAAAGAAATGAGGTAAAAATTGAACCAGAGATATTCTTCTTCGAATATCGTTGGCGTCCTCAGAAGCAGTAGGTTGCTCGACTGCGTTGTCTTTTTCTTCCACAGAACCCGGAGAAAGCTTTAGTCTCTCGACCTCTCTGAGCAAAATCACCCACCTTCTCAGTATCTCAAGTCTTTCAGCTCCTCTGCAAGACACAGCTGCTTCTTCCAATCTCTGGATACTCTTCTTAACACTTTTAAAACTACGAGCTCCCTGTAAATCAGATGAAGAGAAAATGTACTTGTAATTTTTTATTTTTTCGGTGTTGAATGAGAAAACTGGTGGAAATTTTGAAATTACCATACGGTCCTGAAAGCGTTTGGCGCCTTCAGCTACGGCTTGGCCGGCGTGTTGGACGACGGAGTCGGCATAGTTCTTGACGGTCCGAGTGAGGTTGTTCTTGTTCCCAGCCTCCACGGCTTTGCTCACAGCCGATCTTATCCACGACATTTTCTCTTGACTTTTTTTTTCTCAGCCCAAAAATATTCAGAAATTTTCTAAAACAAAGCTGAAAGTTTCTGGTTTTGTTTTTTTTTAGACAGAGAGAGAGATCGATGAAGGCTTAGGGTTTGGGTTTGGGGAGTTTGGGGTTTGGGTTTGGGGTTTAGGAGAAATGGGGGAAGGATTGGGGATTGTTTGGGAGAGCCATTTCCAGTTCCCACAGAGAAGAAGAGAGGATGAAACCGTCAGCGTTACGTTGCCACGTTTCTGGATTTAAGCGCCGTCGTTTTGAGGCATTTGGGGTGCTGTCCTTGGTTTAAATGTACCAGTCCAGACAAACTACCAGTCTACTTCTAGCTTAACACTTTATTCCTTTTATTTTCTTTTTTTTTTCTGCAGTTTATTACTTATTTTCTATTTGAGTTTTTTATTTGCAAAGTCAATTGAGTAATTGCCTTTTACAAGGACGTAACTCATCAAAGTCAATGAGTTTAATTGTTTTGTTTTGCAAAGTTAAGTGGTTGAAGAGTAGTTACCTTGTATTGGCAACAACAAAAAAGAGTAATTATTCGAGTAATGCTATTCTTATCACATTTGTATATCACATTCTCATATAAGGCAGATGAAGTGAATATCAATATCAATTAAAAAATGTCAATAAATCATAAAAGAAAAGAAAATACTAAATTAATTTTAATTAATATAGTTGTCCACCTCATTTGCCACATAAAATGATATGAGAATGTGATAAGAATAACATTATTCTAATTACCCTGCATCCGAAATATGTTTTCGAACATTCATCCTTTGATATTGCTTGTATAATCGGATATTAAAAATGTTTATGGAAAGGTAGGGGTAGGGTGCAATGGACCTTTCTGAATTTTATTAGCCTATTCTTTTGAAGTTTGATTAACAGCAGCCCACCGCTACCAACTCATGAAGCAAAGTCCAATTCTTTTATTGGGCTGAAACAAAAACAAAAAATCTTTTATAGTACTAAGAAATAGTAAAGGCCCAAACACGATCTGCCTGTCCAACCGTAACTCTACATTTACTAAGGACACCCAACTATTTCTAAAGCAACACTTGTCAGTCATGCACGACCTCTAATCTAATTAGCCCGCCTCATGGTGCTCATGCATCAAATCCATCTTTCTTAAAATGCCGTTGAGAGAGAAATATGTCTAACGGTTAAAGTTTAAAAAATATCTTAAAATGCCATGGATTAATCAAACACTAAAAGTTAAAATATTTATGATATGAATGTAAAGTAATAAAAGTGAAACAATAAAATAATTTCAAAAAGTAGACCTATTTCAGTCAACTGTCACCAACTACCCTTTGAGTTGGTAATTCAATTATATTAATCCTGAACATCACATCCTTTCCTGGAAACAAGCACACTTCTGCTTATATGTACTTCTTTATATTAAAATGTTAAAAAATTTATTAAAAAATAAAGCGATTTTGTTTATAATTCCAAAAACACTTTTGTGAGTTATAAACACTTGGGACTCGTTTAGGAGTAATTTTAAAAAGGCCAGAATCACTTATAGGGAGAAGTATTTCCTACGTGTTTCTTCATACGTGCTTCTTCATACGTGCTTCTCCTAAAGTAATTATATGGAGAAGTGATTCTCCATAAAAGTAATTATATTCATAATCACTTCCAAGCGAAGGTTTTCTACCAACGCAAACATAAACGTTTTCTGTTAGAAGAACCCGTTTTTATCCATTTCATAACTACTCCCAAATAAACCCTAAACTATATTTTAAGTGGACACCAAAGCGGCCTAAGCTAATTAGTATGAGTTGTATCATACTAACTAGCTTCTCCTCTTCCCGAGCTTCTCCCGAGATGTCGTTGAGCATCGTCTTCGTTCTGGTTAACAGGCTCTCTCCGCCGATCGGCTCCAACTCCGTGGCTGCTCCGAGACTGCTTCTCTCGCTGGAGAACATCCCCAATAAGCTGAACTTCCGGTGAACCTTGACGCTGTAAGTCAAATTAGTGAACGAGAGCACGAACGGCAAGGAGCGAGGCTCGATGCTGGCGTCGGAGAGGTCGAGGGCGTGGTGCGTCGGAGTCTCACCGCCATCACCAGTAGCTTCCTTGCGAACGTCGCCGACGTGCTTGAGGAGCTGGCCGAGTGAGGGAGACGCGCCTTGGGAGGCGCGTGATAAATCATCGAGCTCCATTGTAGTGAAGAACGGCGATATTTGATTGTTTGCTACACGAGACGACATTCGTATAGCTTCCTTTCTCTCCAAGCCTCCAGATATTTATAGCGCTGGAGGTGCACAGAGAAAAAGAGGTAGAGTGGGGTTAACTAACGGCGTGTTTGGGATGGGCTTAAATTCTTCGAAAATGCATTAAGAGATAGACGAGGCCTTTGCTTTTGCTTAGCGCAGTGGTTTGGCCTCTCTCTCTCTCTCTCTCTCTCTCTCTCTCTCTCTCTCTCTGTCTTTCAGCGTGTGTGACGAGAAGGAGGTGCTTGTTTGGCTGTTGCTTTATGGTTTTATGGTGGATAGTTTTTCAATATATAGAAATATAGAGATTTTCTATTTAAACCCCACATTTCTCTTTGTTTACCTCAATACTTAAATCATTAAGCTGTAAGTTTTATTATTGTGTAAAAAGACAAAAAAAGTCATCCAACTTAATACTTAACTCTAGTACATCTATACACACACCCCACCACTCTTCATATTAAGTTTTAGAAAAATACAAACTCTTCTACATCGTATTGCCAGAGACGTAGAACATTGAAGAGTATGTCTTTTTAAAATCTATGTGGGAGCTAATGGAAAGACTTGTTAATTGTTTGGCTGTAATGGTCTTATTCTCTTCCCTTCGTTGATTGCTTTTGTTTTTTTGTTTTTTGTTTTTTTAAAAATACCTAATGTTTTGGTAAAGCTGTTCTCTTTCTCTAGAAAATATTAAATTTTGGATTTGGTTTGTTTGTTGTTTGTACAGTAATATTATTATCACTTCTGGCATTCCAGTGTGCATCTAAAATCATAATCCTATTGCTGCAACTTCAATAGGTGGGTAATTTTTCTTGTTTCTTTTCCACTCTGATAAAAGCTTCAATGTATTCTCCATTGATGGCCGATCAGATGGCCTACTCCTAGTGCAAAGTGTAGCACCTCAAGTACCAGTTTTATCTCCTCTCGCATTGGAACGTTCGTACCAACTTCATTCTCATTGTAAATTTCTCACATAACAACTTCCCTTGACTTACTCTGTATGCTTGCTCCATTGCTTAAAATTTTCAGCATGATCTCCCCAAAGCTGTATACATTCCTCCTCTAAGAGTAGCTTGTGGGGTTTAAATAGAAAATTTCTTTTCTTTCTTATTTTTTCAGATTGTGGTGTATTTAAGGGTAGTTTGGGAAGATAGTGGGGTTTTCTTAGAAATTGTGAAATTTTAAATTAAAAGTTGGGGTAAACTTAGAACATGGGGTGAACTAAGAGAAATGTGAGGTTTAAATAGAAAATCTCGAAATATAACCAACCATAATGGGTGAGGCGTGTGTGGGGTTTTAACTTACTTTACTGTTATTTTTTTATTTTTTTTATAATTTTCTGTCTACTAAATTTTTTTTCTTCTACTGTTTTGAAGGGGGAGGTGAAAGAGAGGTGACCTACAATGCCTAATCCCATCTCCATACGACTTCTCTTCTCATGAACAACAGCCGGGTGGACACGTGGGAGATCAAGGCTGGTGACACGTGGTTTAATGTGTGTTTCTGTTTGTAATTTTTCAGGGTTTTATTAATCTTGTTTGACAGTTTTCGGGGGTCCATGAAAATTAGGTTGGGTGTTGATCAAAATATGCGTAAGCAAGTACGCTGCGTGTTGATAATTGGAGGTGTCTTGAGGGCTACTGCCATTTTTTAGCTGCCCACTTTATGTTTAGTAGGTTACGCTATCCAGTCACATAAACTTCCCCATTAAGCCAGTTACAATTCATGAGGTGTGGTTGGGCTGGAAGGTTACTGTTTCAGGCAACTTCTTATGTATAAACCAGTACAATTGTGGGGGCACATGTGTAACAATGGTACAACTCAATTACCAATTTTCATCTTCCTTCTCCTTAAATCAATTTACTTTTCCTTCCTTTTTGGGGTTAATTAATCATGATTTAAGAGCAATTACCTCTGCATCACCCGAGATTCTAAGTTCAATTTCCCCCTCTCCCAATGTTGATCGTATGGTGCTAACTTTTTAACTTTAGATTTCTTTCTAGAGGCATTTGTTTTGGATTGATTCAAAACCCTTTAAAGGGAGAGTTTCTTGAGTCCAAAGAGATGCACACACTTTGCATTATGGTTATGTAGTGACAACTGCATGATACAAATAACTCCAAAATAAAAATCCAAGTCCACCAAATTATGGAATAGTATACAGCACACTTTAGCCGATTTTCTCAAGGATCTTACCTAAAAGTGTGAACTTGGGAAAGCAATGGTGAAATAAACGAACCATATTAAAGCAAATTGCATCACTTCACCGTTTTTAAAGGAGACAAGAAAATTGAAAGCAACTTGATGCACCAACTACTCTATGAGTTGGTAATTCAATTATATTAATCCTGAACATCACATCCTTTTCTGGAAACAAGCACACTTCTACTTATAAGTACTTCTTTATATTAAAATATTAAAAAATCTATTAAAAAATAAAGCGCTTTTTTTTTTTATAATTCCATAAACACTTTTGTGAGTCATAAACACTTGTGACTCGTTTGGGAGTAATTCTAAAAGGGCCAAAATCACTTATAGGGAGAAGTATTTCCTACATGCTTCTTCATATGTGCTTCTCCTAAAGTAATTATATGGAGAAGTGATTCTCCATAAAAGTAATTATATTCATAATCACTTTCATAGCAAAGGTTTTCTACCAACGCAAACATAAACGTTTTCTGTTAGAAGAACCCGTTTTTATCCATTTCATAACCACTCCCAAATAAACCCTAAACTATATTTTAAGTGGACACCAAAGAGGCCTAAGCTAGTTAGTATGAGTTGTATCAAACAAAAAAAAAAAAAAAATGGTATGAATTGTGGTGACTTGCCCTCTTGAATGACCAGTAAAACTTCCCTCCACGTCACTCTGAGCCATGGTCTAAAATATTGATGATATCGGAAATATCGGTAGTCCAAAAACATGGAAATTTCGATAGAAATATCGGGATATTATCGATATCGATAAAAATTGAAAAAAAACCACGGAAATTGTAAGAAAAACTTAGAAATTTTTATTGAAACTTTGGAGAATGTTTATTTAGTCAATTATCTATTAGTTTATCAAAAAAAATTAGAAGGAAATGTATTACATGATGGATGTAACTGATTTAAGTTGATTATACAGCGAGATGACAAACACTGTGAGTGTAGAAAATATGTAGTAATTAATAAAAAAAAGATTAAACACACCATAATCATTTATATATAATGATTTACTACAATATTTTACACTTTATACATTGCATGGTAAGATACATGAGTGACTTAGTACCACATAGAGTTCTTATGAGGTTCAAATTTTTCACTATCTTTATCATATCTATGTGTAGAGTAAGTGTATTGTGAAGAGTATTCATCAAATGATAAATCCCCAAAATAGTTTTGCATGTAATTATTAACATGCCACCCATATAAATATAAATATTTTAGCATATCATCACTAAAACATAAATGATATATGGTGGTTAAGGTGTTGGAGGAGTAAAATGGGAGGGGTTCAATCCCCTTGGTGTTTTTTTTTTCCTCCATTTTTTCCCATTTTTTTTCTTCTTGTTCCTTTACATCGATATTTTCGATATTTTAGCGATATTACACCGATATTTTGACAAAATATGGCTGAAGTGTGAGCGAAATTATTGACATCGATATTTTCCGATATTATCGTCAATATTTATACGATATGTACATGGATATGTTCCGAAATATCCGTAATTTGAAAAAACCGAAATATCCTCGATATTTCGTCGATATTATTGATATTTCATACTATGCTCTGAGCTTTCCCACGTGCACATCTACTCTCCCTGGAGAAATTATAGAATAGTACGGATGTACCACGTCAGCATATGATACTCCCATTCAAATTTTAACATGTGTTCATTTTTAAAAAGAAATTAATTACTTTATTACACCTGGACTTACTTATTTTTTTTTAAAATAAAATTAGAAAAATCTTTAAAAGGAAAATTAAAGAATTTTCCAACCCTCCGTCTCCAACTCAAACCTGTGCCACCCCTTTCCCTTGCTCTTCCTGTCGACCCCTTGCATTTTTGAAGCCACTCCATGCTCAAATTCCTAGGGTGGCGTCTGTAGCACCTTTCAGAGTATGCTTCAACTCAATCCACATTGGTTGTGCCTTCCATTGATTTTGTGTTGCAGAGTGAGAGTATACTGGAGGGTGTGTTTGTAGCAAATTCAATGGTGTAAGTGCGCAAAGATGTGTTGTGTTTGGAATTTGTGGATGCTGGGCTTTGCCCAAGTAACCCAAGGTGATGTCATTGTGATCAGAGCGCATCAATTGGAGGACAATCTTCTTCAATTTGATTTGGCTAATAAAAGACTTGGGTTTAAAATCGGATTCTAAGATGAATTTTCTATTGAGCATCCGATTTTTCTGTTGAGCATCCGATTTTGAAGAGGAAGAGTAAAGATGGGGGTGGCACAGGTTGGGGGTTATGAGTGTCTGGGTTGGGGATGAAGAGTTGTTGGAAAATTCTTTCTCTTTCCCTTTTATTTTTCTAATTTTATTTTAAAATATAAAATTAAGTAAGTCCATCTGTAATAAAGTAATTAATTAATTTTTAAAAATGGACACATGTTGAAATTTGAATGGGAGTATCATATGCTGACGTGGTACATCCGTACTGTTATGGAGTTACAATAGTATTTCAATTACAATAGTTAATCCTACTAATGATAGGAAATGGTCAGTTGTCAGTTATGTTGTTATTAGGCCATAACTCCATATTTATATTTGTGATAATGACTTGTTGTAACTATAGATTATTCTCTACAGACTTTATATATATATATATATATTGTATAATGATCATATGAATGAATAATGGAAAATCGGTTTCTACACGTATTATTCTATAATTTCTCCTCTCCCTGACCTTCCTATTTAACCACCCAACCTTGTCCTAACGATACCAGTCTCTCTACAAAACCCCCTCTGAAGAACTCCTTCAATCCTTCACTGGTCCCCCACCCTCCCAATTTAAACGCACCGTTTTGTACAACAAATCCATCTCCATCGCCACACAAAAGCGTAACAAAGACTACCCAATATGGCTGCACTACCAAATCTCACCGGGCTTCAGATCGAGGCGACGTCGTTTCCACCGTCAGTCAAACCCCCAGGCTCCGCCAACACTCTGTTCCTCGGCGGCGCAGGTTCGTAAAACTTCGCACTACCGGCGCATCGCAATGGTCGTCCGTACTTAATTTGTCCAGCTAATTGTTTGTTGATTTTGGTTTTGACTGGCTATGTGTATGCTAATGCGCGCAGGGGTGAGGGGGCTGGAGATTCAGGGGAACTTCGTGAAGTTCACGGCGATTGGCGTGTACTTGGAGGATAAGGCCGTGCCTCTGCTCGCCGTTAAGTGGAAGGGCAAGAGCGCCCAGGAGCTGACGGAGTCCGTTGAGTTCTTCAGAGAGATCGTTACAGGTAACGGACTTCTTAAAACAACGTGCTTAAAGCTTTGACTAGTATTTAATTTGACAGACAATTGGAATGTTGTAATTTCATGTCTTAACCTTTATTTTATAATTATTTTTTTCTAAAACCAATCAGAATTTCATAAAATTAGTTAGGGTTAATGTGTTGTCTTCTGGATATGATGTGTTACTCTGTATGAAAATAAAAAAAACAAAAACAAAACTTGAGGCACAAGTTATAATCTTGATTATCCTTTCATAGGTCCATTTGAGAAATTCACACAGGTGACAATGATACTGCCACTAACCGGCCAGCAATACTCGGAGAAGGTTTCGGAGAATTGTGTTGCGATTTGGAAATCAATCGGAATTTACACTGATGCAGAAGCCAAGGTCATTGAGAAGTTCCTTGAGGTCTTCAAGGATCAAAACTTCCCACCTGGCGCCTCTATCCTTTTCACACAATCTCCCAATGGATCGTTAACGGTTAGTACTACTGAACTTATGTTTTTTTTAAGGGTTGAGTTTGTATTTTGCATCTGAGTTTTGACATCTTTGTTTGATCTCTTTCATTGCTACAGATTAGCTTCTCCAAAGATGCATCCATACCAGAAGCCGGGAACGTGGTGATCGAAAACAAACTGCTTTCGGAGGCAGTTCTAGAGTCGATCATCGGAAAGCACGGTGTTTCTCCTGCAGCAAGGCAGAGTGTAGCTGCGAGGTTATCTGAATTGTTGAAGTAGAGTTGTCATAATGAGGCCGGAAATGGAAAATTGGAAACCCAGGTGTACAATAGAAATGGTTAATGTTGGATGGAAACTGAGAGAGGAGAAATAAAAGTTTCTGAGTGATGTTCTTCTGTATTTTGTGATTTATCTACGTATAATCTATGAAGCTACGAAAGTGCTCTGTCTTGTTTAATTTTAAGAAAATGGTCATTATGTATGAGAAGTAACAGTTGATTTGGAAATCTGACTTTCTAAAGCATAGCTGCATGGGATAGTGATATCATGCATGTGGTTAAATTATACTCAAAACAAGTTGATTTGGAAATCTGACTTTCTAATAATGCCAACAGATTCCTTCTAATTGGCCTGACTTTGCAAACCATTGACCTAATCCACACGCATTGACTCTAATACAATAATGCAAACCCACATGAAAGTGATACCTGCTGAAAAGAAATATACGGGAAAGGAAATTTGAGTCATAAGTATTTTGATCTGATCAAAACTCCACCATCAACATGTTCACAGCTCTATGTTGATTGCAAATCTCTTTATGAATCTTTCAAAGTAATCTATCACCGTCGTTTAGATAGTATTATCTCGTATACGTTTTAAATAATTTAAAGATGTGGCTTTTAAGCAAGAGACTTATTGCTCAAGTAGGTAAGAGCATTCACTAGTGCACTTGAGAGGGATCTTGTGTTTGATTCCCCTTCTCAAGATACCGCTTACTTCAAAAAGATAAATGCATCTTCTACGTTGATTAAGATAGTGATAATATATAACAAGTGATACATATCTAAGATATGATTACGCTTCTTTTTTTGGTTACTAGGAGGCCAAAGCCAAGACGAAACAAGAAGAAAAAACTAACAAATCACAGCCCTCTCAAGGGCCCTTCTAGCACATCGTCCAATAAGATGTTCAAAATAGAAGTCGGAGCATACTCAAAATTATGAAGCCCAAAAGGTAATTCGTACCCCAAATTAACAAAGTGGTCAACAACGTTGTTTTGCTCCATGTAAACATGAGAAATCTTGCAACTCCAATCACAGTTTAGCAGCAACTCGCAATCTTCAATTAGACAAAAAAGGGGTGAGATTGGTCAGACACCTTGGCCATCAGAGAAACAACAGATATTCAACATCAAGGGGTGGGATGTCACCTTAGTCCAAAATGCCGACCCTCTTCAAATTATTAATCAGAATGATAAGATAATTATTATTACAATGAGAATATATCATCATCAATACTTAAATGCTGGAACCACGACATCTAACTTTGAATTAAATAGGGTGCCACTGTATACTATATCTTCTTCGTCGATTGCAATATACTTGACTAACAACAGCACCATTTCTACTTTTTCTCCATGTCTCCATTTCTAGGGTATAACAGTAAAAAGTTAAACGCTCCTTTGCATTGTTTCCATGTCTCCATTGTAGGGTTTACAAGCACGTAGCCAAAGAAATAGAAACAACAAAAAAGCTATCTGCCTCCCCATGCAGGGCAAGGCCATGCATCTTTTTTGGCTTATATTCACGGAAACAAGCTTAAATTCAATTTTTTTTGGGTCCAATTTCTACTCAATTTTTTGTTTTGTATGTTCTGAAAATAAATTGCTCATATGTTTGTCCTTTAATTCGTGGGAATTTGATGCCTGCCTCACTGCAACCGCGTTGACAATTTCTTTTATTCATAACCTTTTTTTTATTTAAGGAAAGTAAAATTTTATCCATGAAATAATAAAATTTAGAAGACTCAAAGGTGTGCGACCAAACAAAATAAGAAATAAAATAAAAAGAAGGGTCAAAGGTTGCATACTGTACATATATAAATGAGGGAGTTTCACTAATATATCCAAAATAGGGACTGAAATTATTATTAAAAAAACCCCACATTGAATGCACTTTAGAAACATGGCTAAAACTCATTTACTACATAAGAAATTAGTGTTTAAGTTCTTATAAATTACATGACTGCCATTGATCAACTTAAAAAAGAAGATCAATACAAAAAACTTAAATAGCACCCAAAACAAGCCCAGCTCAATTTTATAAAAAAAAACCCAAATAAAAAGTCTTGAAAACCGTAGTTTCATTAACATGTCATATTAATTAATGATTGTAATGTTCTACACCTTTATTGTCATGTTGATTAATTGTTGTAATGTTACAGTTTAGGGTAATAACACTGCTCTGTCATGTTGATTAATTGCTGTAATGTTCCAGTTTATGGTAATAACACTGCTCTGTCATGTTGATTAATGACTGTAATGTTCCAATGTAGGGTAATAATATTGCTAGTTTCCTATAACATCCTATTTCTAATGCATGTTTACCCTTATAATGTTCCAATGTAGGGTAATAACACTACTAGTTTCCTATGATATCCTATTTCTAATGCATGTCTACCCATGTTTTGTTCCAGTCTAGGGTAATAACACTGCTAGTTTATTGTCATGTTGATTAATGGTTGTAATGTTCCAGTTTAGGGTAATAACAATACTAGTTTCATATGACATCCTATTTCTAATGCATGTCTACTACTATAATGTTCCAGTCTATGGTAATAACACTGCTAGTTTCCTATGAAATTTTACTTCTAATGCATATCTACCCCTATAATGTTCTAGTGTAGAGTAATAACACTGCTATTTCCTATGACATCCTATTTCTAATGCATGTTTACCCGTGTAATGTTCCAGTCTAGAGTAATAACACTGCTAGTTTACTCCTGAGATGGAAGGGCAAAGTTCCCCACTACCTTGGAAACCATTGACTGGTCAACAAGTCAGCTTTCTTTGGTGTATGAGCGTGTCATTGCTAGCAATAAAGATTCTAGTAGACTTCTTCTAGAATAGATAACTTGCGCCCCAAGTTACTGATTTCTAAACAAAGCGATTATGAACTTGGGTGAGGAATATCTCCCAAGTAAGTTCTTTTCTTGCCTCAGACTGGTGAGGACTTTCACAATTTATCTCAGTATAAAAACGGTTGTTCTAGCCAGAATGATTGATAGAAATTGGACTGTTTTAAGCAGAACTCCCTTTTACAAAACTATAAATACACATATCAACGCTAGAAAGATAAAAAGACAACTAGAACTCCATTTCTGCCTGGATAGAAGGCTCTGATCCGGGCTGGACTGGATATGTCTGGCCTGGACTGAACTGTCAACAACTTCAACTGCTAAGCTTCGGCTGTAAATCGATACCAAAGTTCAATTTTGGCAGAGCTTTAATCTACTTCAAGCTTTGGGAGGCTTTTGAGGGGGCAGAACTGCAGCTTCTTCAATCTGAAGGGGTAGAAGTGGTTGTTCTTGAGAACTTAGTGAGCTAGAGACTGCACTATTGTCACACCTCAACCCTCGGATTTACAAAACCTTGGGTTAAGACGTGATTCACACCTTAATTATAGAATTTAATAAAAACTATAACTAAAATGTGAAGAAAGCATTTAAATAAATAAAATAAATATTTCACATAAAATATTCAGCAGAAACGCGGAAATGATAACATCTGAAACTATAAAAATTTTACATTATTTTACAAGTCAGAACTACTCGAGAGTTCACTGAAAGAGTAGCTCATTATTCATCCATAAGCTATAATACGCTCTATAGACTTGCCAAAAAAAAATCATCACAAGCTCTAGATTTCGGATTCGGTACTTGCAAAATCTATTAGGGGATGAGCGAAACCACAGCTCGGTAGGGACTTGATAAATATTCAAGCATCCAAATTTCACATTAGTAGTAACAATACATGAATGCTCTTCATTTAATCCCGTTAATTCATATAATTGGACAAGCAAACCTGCATGTCCCATACCATGCTTTTACCACTTGGTCCTGAATGCCTATTTATATGAACTAACACCCATTTCAACTGTTCCATAATTCCTCTTTTGTTAGTCATCTTGTCTAACTCCCTTTTGCCAGTCCCGAATCACCCAATAAAAATCATGTGCACTGTGGGATTCCTGAGACCTGATACCTGCCAAGAGTTAGACTCAACTACACAAAAGATTCTTTCCATTACCCTAATTTCCACCATTATTTTCTCAACTCCAGACTTCTAGTCAAATTCCATGACATGATATAATTATGCCTTTCACAATAATGTAGCCATTTAAAATATCACCAATGCACATATAATTATGCCCACATTGTTCAAATAGTTAAGGGTACGTAAATATCCAATACGAGGAACGTAAATCAAACAGTACTACATTAACCAAATAGTTAATAATTTATAAACATCCAATATCCAGAACATTATATAATATCAAAAAAAACTATCCATAATATAGAGCTTACGAAATTTAAATAAATCAATCTTCGTAAAAGGCCCCCCAAGAAACCCTTACCTTATTTCCAAAGCTAACTCCAAGTTAAGAAAACACAAGCTCCGACCTCTAACTCCTCCAAGAATATTATTACCACTCTCTCTCTTTCTTTTTCTCTCTACCAATATTTCTTTCTCGTTTTCTTTGTTTGCACTTGTTGTGCAACTTAATGTTCTATATATATACAAGGAGTATGTTGGCATTGACTCCCTTCCTATTGGATGGCGTTTGGCGGTTTACAATACTTACCATCCAAGTTATATTAATGCAGTGGTCTAGCTGTGCAGATAAGGTAGTTCCTAATTCCTCCAATCCTATACAACCTTTTTTGGTGATTTGACAGAGCTAGTATATAGCTATGCTTACTAAGCATTTGTTTTTCTTTGACACATACTACACTAACAATGACTAAGCATAACCATATCAGCAATGACTACACGTAGCTTAACAAAGACTAAGCATGCATACATCAATACTAATAGAATAAGGCATCATATATACATATTTAATAAGATATATGTATATATATATAATAGAATAATAATAATGCATGAAACTCTAGATAGCTAAGGACAAAAATCCTACTACCATTAAATAAAATTAATATTAAAAGCATGTTTTAAGAATATCATCAAAATTATTGAATTTGCATTAAATAAAACATAGACTTTCATAAAATAATTATAATTATAATTTAATACTTACCAAAATAAAGTATTAACATTTTTAAGAATAAGGATTCTCACAACTATGAGATTTGTTGAGGTTTTCATGTTTGGGAAAAACTCAAACTCTGCTTGTCTTGACTTTTGCTGAACCAAAATTTGTAACGAGAGAGGTCTCGTTTTGAATGACTTATTTTCTAAGTCTGAACTTTGGGAATTCTGATCTAAAGTTGGTTTCTCTTGGAGTTCAAGTGAGCTTTTGGTTGATTTCTTGTTGTTTGTTTGATTGATGAATTGATTGTCCTTTTGCCCTGTTCACTCCCTCTTGTATTTATAAGAAATGCTTAGAAGTATGGTTTCTTCCTTTAAATAATGGGCGACAAATCTTCGCAAAAGATCTAGAAGGAAATACAAGAGAGGAAAGGGCTCTAATTTAATTCTGTCATATAGGCTTTCATCAATCAGTCTTTAAGATCACTTCTCTGTTTTTCTTTAAAAGAAAACCTAATCCCTTTTTCCAATTTAACTGCCCCTTGTGAGATTTCAACCGTGATGGTTAGTTTATCTCTCCAGTTTTGAACAACTCCATGTCCTCTGCTTATCTCTTTTCTGAAAACATGGCCTGTGTATCCCTTGAAGAGATGGTGCCTCCTTGGAGTGAGAAATAATATCTCTGAATATATAAGAAGGTTTTTGATCTTCTGGTGGTAGAAATTCAGAGAAGTCTTTTGCCATTGTCCTGCTTTAATTAATTCTCAATCAACTCAATTGAGTTTGTTGACTTTCTTATTTTGGTAGTCACGTGGGTTTTGAAAATAGGTTTCCTTTCTTCTCTTTAATCATGCTGGGCCCACTCTGACTTTCTCCTGAAAATAAACCAAGGGCTGTTTTACCTTCCTTTTTCTCTGAGGCCCAAGTTTTTGTCATCTTTTGATAGATTCTGGGCTGGGCCTTTTTTGGTTTTTTGGGCTCTTGATCATGATTTGGATTCAAAAGACGCCTGGGCCTATTTTTGTCTTATTCTCCTGGGCCTCTAGTGCTGGGCTGAGCGTGCGTCTTTGGCCCAGTGTTTTTTTGGGAAATACTTAGTGGTTGTCCGAAATTATCATGGGCTTTTTCTCTTTGGGTTGGGTGTGTCAAATTAAGCCCAAACAGTTTACTATAATGTTGATTAATGCTTGTCATGTTTCTATTTCTAATACATGTCCACCAAAGAAAAGATGAAGAAAGAACAAACCAGACCAACTCAAAACAAGCTAAGCCCAGATTGTTAATACTGTTATGTCATAGAAGTATATTGTTAATATTCTGTCATAGAAGTACATTATTAATACTCTGTCATAGAAGTACATTGTTAAACAAAAATGAGATTTATAACTGAAATAGTAACAAAAGTTGAATCGATCATCAAAGCTTAAAATACATTTCGAAAATCAACTAAAATCCGAAGAGAAACACATAATTGAAGCAAAAGATCAAAAATCTCAAGTCCAAACCTAACGACGACTATGACGACGATGATGATGATAACAACAACGACGATGTGGCGAAAGAGGAGTAGAGCTTGAAGATGAGGAGTAGAGCTAAGAGCATCTGATCGAGGTTTGTTCGAGGTGTTGAACAATATGAAAAAAGAAAAAATCAACAGAAGCACGATTTTAGAACAAGAAATCGAAGGTGAAATATTGAAAATTGTAGATTAAAGATGAAGAATATAGTTGGACCTAAGACTGAGCTTCAATGGAAGTTTCTCTTGCTCCAACACCAGAGAAAACACCAACGAGAAAGGAGAAAATAAATATGATTTGGTTTTTTGACATATTTGGTTTTTTTGGCGAATCTAGTTTTTGGGCAAATTTGGGCAAATTTGGTTTTTTGGCAGATCTGATTTTCCTCTCTTAAATCCATAGTACAAGGACAATATAGGTATTTAACACACACACCAATAAACTAAAAACAACTATTAAATTAAAAAAAATTGACAGCTGTCAATTTTTGGGTTTTTTTTTGTGTGTTTATAGTTTTTAAATGGTGTAGGGTTTCTTTATAAAACTATTTCTAAGATTGGATATATAACTATATTAAATTTAAAAAATTGACAGCTGTCAATTTTTGGGTTTTTTTGAGTGTGTTTATAGTTTTTAAATGATGTAAGGTTTCTTTATAAAACTATGTCTAAGATTGGGTATATAACTAAATTTCTATTTTCTATTTGAGTTTTTTATTTGCAAAGTCAATTGAGTAATTGCCTTTTACATGGACGTAACTCATCAAAGTCAATGAGTTTAATTGTTTTGATTTGCAAAGTTAAGCGGTTGAAGAGTAGTTACCTTGTCTTGACAACAACAACAAAAAAGTAATTACTCGAGTAATGCAATTCTTATTGCATTTGTATACCATATTCTCATATAAGGCAGATGAAGTGAACATCAACATCAATTAAAAAATGTCAATAAATCATAAAAGAAAAGAAAATATTAAATTAATTTTAATTAATATAGTTGTCCACCTCATTTGCCACATGAAATGATATGAGAATGTGATAAGAATAACATTATTCTAATTACCCTACATCCGAAATATGTTTTCAAACATTCATCCTTTGATATTGCTTGTATAATCGGATATTAAAAAGGTTTATGGAAAAGTAGGGGTAGGGTGCAATGGACCTTTTTGAATTTATTAGCCTATTCTTTTGAAGTTTGATTAACGGCAGCCCACCGCTACCAACTTATGAAGCAAAGTCCGATTCTTTTATTGGGCTGAAACATAAAAAAAATCTTTTATAGTACTGAGAAATAGTAAAGGCCCAAACACGATCTGCCTTAACTCTACATTTACTCAGGACACCCAACTATTTCTAAAGCAACACTTGTCAGTCATGCACGACCTCTGATCTAATTAGCCCGCCTCATGGCGCTCATGCCCCTCGCCAAATAAGAGCGTCGACACCAAAGGGGCCTAAGCTAGTTAGTATGAGTTGTATCAGACCCGAAAAGACACAAAAAAAAACAAATTAGTTGGTATGAGTTGTGGTGACTTGCCCTCTTGAATGACCGGTAAAACTTCCCTCCACGTTTTGAGACTCTAAGCTTTCCCACGTGCACATCTACACTCCCTGACCTTCCTGCTTAACCACCCAACCTTGTCCTAATGACACCAAACGCTCTACAAAACCCCCTGAAGAACCCCTTCAATCATTCACTGGTCCACCCCCCAATTTAAACGCACCGTTTCGTACAACAAATCCATCTCCGTCGCCACACAAAAGTGTAACGAAGACTACCCAATGGCTGCACTACCAAATCTCACCGGACTTCAGATCGAGGCGACGTCGTTTCCACCGTCAGTCAAACCCCCAGGCTCCGCCAACACTCTGTTCCTCGGCGGCGCAGGTTCGTAAAACTTCGCACTACCGGCGCACCGCAATGGTCGTCCGTACTTAATTTGTCCAGCTAATTGTTTGTTGATTTTGGTTTTGATTGACTGTGTGTTTGCTAATGTGCGCAGGGGTGAGGGGGCTGGAGATTCAGGGGAAAGTCATTAAGTTCACGGCGATTGGCGTGTACTTGGAGGATAAGGCCGTGCCTCTGCTCGCCGTTAAGTGGAAGGGCAAGACCGCCCAGGAGCTGACGGAGTCCGTTGAGTTCTTCAGAGAGATCGTTACAGGTAACGGACTTCTTAAAACACGCGCTTAAAGCTTTGACTAGTATTTAATTTGACAGACAATTGAAATGTTGTAATTTCATGTCTTAGCCTTTATTTTATAATTATTCTTTTCTAAAACCAATCAGAATTTCATAAAATTAGTTAGGGTTAATGTGTTGTCTTCTGGATATGAGATGTGTTACTCTGTATGAAAACAAAAACAAAAACAAAACTTGAGGCACAAGTTATAATCTTGATTATCCTTTCATAGGTCCATTTGAGAAATTCACACAGGTGACAACGATACTGCCACTAACCGGCCAGCAATACTCGGAGAAGGTTTCGGAGAATTGCGTTGCGATTTGGAAATCAATCGGAATTTACACTGATGCAGAAGCCAAGGCCATTGAGAAGTTCCTTGAGGTCTTCAAGGATCAAAACTTCCCACCTGGCGCCTCTATCCTTTTCACACAATCTCCCAATGGATCGTTAACGGTTAGTACTACTGAACTTATGTTTTTTTTGAAGGGTTGAGTTTGTATTTTGCATCTGAGTTTTGACATCTTTGTTTGATCTCTTTCATTGCTACAGATTAGCTTCTCCAAAGATGCATCCATACCAGAAGCCGGGAACGCGGTGATCGAAAACAAACTGCTTTCGGAGGCAGTTCTAGAGTCGATCATCGGAAAGCACGGCGTTTCTCCTGAAGCAAGGCAGAGTGTAGCTGCGAGGTTATCTGAATTGTTGAAGTAGAGTTGTCATAATGAGGCCGGAAATGGGAATTGGAAACCCAGTTGTACAAGAGAAATGGTTAATGTTGGATAGAAACTGAGAGAGGAGAAATAAAAGTTTCTGAGTGATGTTATTCTGTATTTTGTGAATTATCTACATATAATCTATGAAGCTAAGAAAGTGCTCCGTCTTGTTTAATTTTAAGAAAATTATCATATTTATGACAAGTAACAGTGTTGTTTTGTCCTGCTTAATTTTAAAATGGCTGAAGTTTACAATGATGCCTTCGGTGTTTCTTAACGAAATGGGAGATAACTTCAACAAGTTGTACCATTGCTACATTAACCAAATTAAATCTAACCTCGCGAACAAATCACCCCTCAGTTTATTCTCTCCGAAATTCAATCTCAGTTTTCAAACTCAATACAATCTCTATGGATAAAAATTTCTGGGGACCAGTGCTTCTCCTGGTATTCCATTTGTTCACCGCTTCTTCTCAAAGTAAGTAACGTATAATCTGTTTGATATTCGACATGTTATGTTGTTAAATTCTCGATCTTTTTCTTATGACTTTCCACCTTTTTTTCAGTCACAACAGAATGGTTGAACATTGACTGCGGTAACAATGCTCCGCGTTGGGATAAAAACTTGCTCAAATGGGTCACCGACAGTGGCTACACCCAAGCAGGCATCAACAAGCAAGTTCCACAAAAGCAAAAACTTGAAGAGATGAACACCCTCCGATCCTTCCCTAACAAGGCACCACAAAACTGCTATGCTTTACCTTTCCATGAGCAAACCCAACGGGTCTTGGTCAGGGCAGGCTTCTACTACGGCAACTACGATGGTCTTTCGAAGCCTCCTTCGTTTGATATTCATATCAACGGTAGAAATTGGTCAACGGTCAACACATCAACGGTGGTGGATGGGCCAATATACCATGAAGCCATGTATGTGAATCAAGGGGCAGGATCTCTTAATGTGTGTATTGTGCAGGATGAGAGTGGAGTGGTTCCCTTTATATCTTCAATAGAAGCTGTTCCAATTTCGGTTACATTGTACCCTGAGATGGAGGCCAACTATGCTTATAATCTAGTATCTAGGATTAACTATGGTGGTGGAGAAGTGAGGTACATTTCTCTAATTATTCGATCACTATTTAACATATGTAAAGTCGTCCACACTTAAGTGAATAGATGTTAATACACCAGCGACCAATAATCACTTACACGTTATCTATTTTATTGGATTATGATATCATATTCGCTTAAACAAAAAGAAACATTATTAGGACCTGACATTTTTCTTTTCATATCCAACATTTTTTTGTTGCCATTTTTGATTGCAAGATATATTAGATTTTGATTGAGAATGTACAAAAATTGCTGAATGTAGGTTCCCAGGGATATTGGGTGAGGAATACAACCGAGTATGGACTCGTGGAACAACCCCACCAAACTGCACCGAAGTCGCTACCTTACCAGGTCCCTTATCTTTTCCAGAAAACAACCCTCCCATTTCTGTGTTGAGCGACTCCATTGAATCAATGAACCCTGCGGATCCAATCACCTTGTCCATTGACCTCCCACAGACGACCCCACAATCAGCCTACCTTGTGCTCTACTTCACCGAAACGGTAACCCTCCCCAAACCAAACGACAGCAGGATAATTCAGATCTACATCAACGGCCAGATGAAGTCCACGGTGACATCTGAGTACAACAAATGTAAGGTGATCACCATATACCCTGTGACTGTTGTGGGACCTACGATCAATGTGACATTGGCCTCAGCTAATGGGTCAACCCTACCTCCCATAATCAGTGCCATGGAAGTGTTCACAAGAATAGAGGCCAACAAGGGTGATAAGAGTTCTTCTCCTCCCTCTTCGACTCCCTCTCATGGCACACAAGGACACTTCTTTTATGCATACATTAATTCCATTTCTTGTATTTGCTTGCTTCTTCTATTCATAGCCTGACAAAGTTGAATTAATTAATGTCCACAAGGGACCATATCTTTATTTTTCCTTTTTGGTTTTGACGTAATAAAATTGTCATTGTATTACTTTGGTAATTAAAAGAGTTGTCATTGTCTTCTATATGTACAATGGAGTCAAAATAAGGATGCAATTTGTCTTTTCCTACTTACCAAAAGTAAATTTTTATAATAATAATCATTCACACATGTGTAAAAAACTATCAGTCGTTGATTCATATGAATTTTATAATGAATATTTTATTAATCGATGACTAAGGGGGGTGTATCTAATTCTAACTTTGAATGACTTTGAATGAGTTTAAAAGTTTGAAGGTATTCAATTGTGACTTTTAAATAGTCTTTAAAAGTTTAGTTGTATTCAATTGTGAGTTTTAAAGAGTATTTAAAAGTTTTGAGGTATTCAAAATGTTAATGACTTTTAAAAACTTCGTTAAATAAATGACTTTTCAATACTTTTGAAGCTAATTCTTACTACCAAAAGTCTTGCTAATTTACACCATACTTTATAAAAATATTGGGAAGCTAGGAAGATATAACCAAAATGTCTCCAATTCTTTCTTCCCTCGTTATATCAAGCAGCAAGCAGATAGGTCTTTTTTCTTCATGGTTAGGGCTTCACTTTGGTAACCCATCTTGTCATCCACTTCCTTCGGTTCAGGTTAGTAAATTTTTTTGAATGTTTTTCTTCTCTTCTCATCCACACGTGTACTTTCCCTCTGTTGATGAATATTTCTTCTATTCTTTTCATCATACTTGCATCCTGAAGCTTATCAATATTTCATCACAAAGCTATGTTTGCATATAAATATTTTATTATATTGATTGTCTCATATGCTATGTTTGCATACAATATTTATTATATAATTTTTTGCCCTTAAACCCATTAATTTATTATTTAGGTACTGTTTCTTTACCCATAATTCATTATATGGATAATTTTTTCATATAATATTCTCAATTTGATTACATCCCACGTATTGGGCTAGAAGAATTGCGGGAATATAGACTCTTGTAATCTGACAATTTTTGTTGGTTTGTGAGTGTTTATGAAATATTATTGATGATTGAGTAATATTTATTTCTTTTGATAAGAATATGTTACTTATCTATGTGATTAGATTTGATAAATAAAAATTTAAAAGGTGCATTGGATGCATTTTACTAATAAACTATTATGGAAATATACACAATTAATAAGGATTTGTATCCAATTGTTTGTTTTTTTCCCTAATTTTTTGTTCCATGTATGCCGACTAGTTCATTCAACATAAAAGATAAATGCTATTCATAAAATTTGATACATGTCATTGTTTACCAAAGTAGTAGTCAAGGTACAAAACTTGATACACCTACAACTTGCCAAAACTTGGTCAATGGCGTAGGTTATGGAGCTAGGTTTTTTATTGACGTTGGTTAGAGTTTAGTAGAGGGAGGGGTCCATGTAAAAGTTTGAGATTTTGTCCTTTGGGGTTATAGAGACATACCTCATTGAATTTGCTTTATGAGATTACGAGAGATTGAAAAACAAAGAGTCACGCTCAGAATAACTGTGTACGTATGCGTAAATGAATATCACCGTGAATCTATGTTAAATTTATTAGAAGATATAAAATATTATACAATGGATGATATTCCGATAGAGTCTGAAAGCTTGTAACTCTAATATTTCTTCTTACTCCCAATATTATTTTGCTAACAAAAAATTATCCACATGAAGCCCAACAGTTAACAAAATTCAGTCTCATTTGGGCCATTCAATCAAATATTCAACACCAACATAACCAAAACCGGGCACCGAACTCAGAATCCCACCAAAATCTTGTATCGTACTACTCCCCCCCACACTAATAAAGTGGTTGTGGAAAACGCGTAATTAAGCACACAGCTACGCGTAATTAAGCATACAGCTGACAGCGACTAGGACTGTATCAATGTTCTTTTTTGAACAAGCCCGGCACTAAATATTCCCCCTCAGAACCATCACACGAACCCTCCCGTTATCTCACTCTCTCTCTCTCTCTCTCTCTCTCTCTCTCTCATGGGACCTAACGTATATTCCAATCCAAAAAGGTGAGCCACCCATAATAGCTGTCATCAGCTTTGCTCCATCATGTTGTCTGTTCAAACATTATTTACTTCTTTATATCTATCCAATCCACTACGTTCTCTACTTCAAATTTGTGATTTTGCTAGCGGTTCTATGAATTTGTCAAACAAGACGTAGAGAAAATAATAAACAAGGACTGGGTTTGTTGCAGTCAATGTGGTCTTGTCACGTTCATTTCTGTCCACATTGTGTTTCATATTCTCATTTATTTAGTCCAGCAAGTTGAGGAACTTATGTCAGTGAGACACTGAGCATTTTGTAGTTGATTTTCGCACTTGGGTTTTTTAATCAGATTCAAGAACCTTCGTGTGCTTCTCCAATATTGATGTGTTCAGGTGATTTCAAGCTTACCCTTTTGGTTATTTGCTTAATTTATTGGTTATCTTTGTTGGGTTCTTGTTGTATCGGTGTTGTGAGGAAAGAGATAGGACATTGATTTTGTGCAATTCCATATTATAATCTGAGCCTTGTCCCTTCTGAAAGCTGTTTCCTTTTGTAATCTGAGTTTTGCTTGCATGTAGCAACTTGCTTTTCATGATCACCCACTGTCAATTACAGGTTGCAACTTTCTAATTTGTGATCTAAGCTTTGCCCATTTGAGTCTTGTTATAAGCCTCAGCTTTGCTTCAAGATCCCATCTCTCTTAACTTCAATCCTGGTTATGATGGCTGGTGGGACTATTAGATTGCTTATAGGGGTTTCTTCAATTTTGTATCTGATATGCGGTTCATTGGGATTTAATCCAGTGGATAAGCATCTGATAACCTGTGGATCAAAAACCAATGTAAAAGTTGGTGATCGTGTATTTGTATCTGATGAGTCTGATTCCAGTATCCTCTCAACCCCACAAAAAATCTCTGGCAATTCAAGTTCCATATCTTCCTCCTTCGATTCAGTTCTGTACCGAAGTGCAAGAATATTTAGTGGAACCTCCGTTTACACATTTCCAATAAGAAAACAAGGGCGTCATTGGGTTCGCCTCTATTTCTCTCCTTTTGTTCATGAGGGTTACAATTTGAGCACAGCAAAGTTCTCTGTTTCTGCTCAAACTTTCACCCTTCTCAAGGAGTTCAAAATAGAGAGCGGTTACCGCATGAGAGAATACTCCTTGAACATAACTTCGGACAGTCTAGTTCTCACCTTTACGCCTGCCACCAATTCATTTGCTTTTATAAATGCCTTAGAAGTTGTTTCGCTCCCGGACGAGCTCATTACAGAGGATGCCATAACCATTGGTTCAAAGGAAAATCACCAAAATTTGAGGAAGCGAGCATTAGAGACAGTTGAGAGAGTGAATATGGGTAATGAAACAGTGTCTCCCCAAAATGATACCTTGTGGAGACTTTGGGTTTCTGATGATCCTTATTTGACGCACAATGGTTTTCCTACGTTTGTTTCAAACAAGGAAGCTGTCAAGTACACGACCTGGCCAACGGAGGATATCGCCCCTCCTTCGGTCTATGGCACCGCGACTAAGTTGAACTCGTCGAGAGATCTTAGTCTGAATGCCAATCTGACATGGCATTTTGAAGTTGATCCTGGTTTTGAGTATCTGGTTCGGTTTCACTTCTGTGACATAGTCAGTGAATCTGCTCCACCTGACATAGGCAGTGAATCTGCTCCACCTCCCATCCTCAGAGTTTTTATCAATTCTCTGTTCGTTTCTAATAGTCTTGATCTTAGAAATCTGACAAAAAATATCTTAGGCACCCCATATTTTATGGATGCCATTATGAGGGTAAGTGATAGCAAGAAGCTAACCGTAAGTGTTGGCCCTAATAATCCAGACGCACCTGACTCAGTTGTCTTTCTCAATGGGCTGGAGATCATGAAAATAAGCAATTCTAGGAGCAGCTTGGACTCTTCTTTGAATAAAAGCTCTAAGATGAAAGTTGGTGTTATAGTGGGTTTGGCTGTTGGACTATTCATTGCTATTGTGTTGGCTGCAGTTTTCTTCCTGCTGTGCAGAAGAAGACTAACACATGCCATCCATTCAAGGACAGATGATGTTATGGTGAATGGAATGGAAAGGAAAGACACCGATAGCACAGCGATGTTTTCTGTCTCAAAAATTGGGTATCGCTTTCCTTTCGTGGCAATTCAAGAGGCTACTGATAATTTCAGTGAGAACCTAATTGTTGGGGCTGGTGGTTTTGGGAAAGTTTACAAAGGAGTTTTAAGGGACAACACAAAAGTGGCAGTTAAGAGAGGAGCTTCCCATTCAAGGCAGGGTCGTGCAGAATTTCGGACAGAAATTGAAATGTTGTCTCAGTTCCGCCACCGCCATTTGGTAGCATTAATTGGATACTGTGATGAGAAAAATGAGATGATCGTTATTTATGAGTACATGGAAAATGGGAGCCTGAAGAACTATCTGTATGGCTCAGATTTTCCAAGCTTAAGTTGGAGGCAAAGGCTTGAAATATGTGTTGGAGCTGCCAAAGGACTTCACTATCTTCACACTGGCTCTACAAAGGCAATTATTCACCGGGATGTTAAGTCTGCCAATATACTACTGGATGAGAATTTTATGGCCAAGGTTGCTGATTTTGGGCTGTCAAAAACTGGTCCTGAGATTGATCAAACGCATGTCAGCACCGCGGTCAAAGGCAGCTTTGGGTATCTTGATCCAGATTACTTAACAAGGCAACAGCTGACAGAGAAGTCAGATGTGTACTCATTTGGGGTGGTGATGTATGAAGTCCTTTGTGGAAGACCTGTTATTGATCCATCTCTCCCAAGGGAAAAGGTGAACTTAGTTGAATGGGCACTGAAGTGGCAGAAAGATGGGAGATTGGAGGAAATTGTAGACCCCCTTCTTGCAGGTCAAGTAAAGCTGGATTCATTGAAGAAGTATGGAGAGATAGCTGCAAAATGCTTGGCACAACACAGCGTTGATCGACCTACGGTGGGAGATGTGTTGTGGAACTTAGAATATGTGCTACAGCTCGAAGGAAACAATGGACGATCAGATCACAATCGCAGGTCATCTTTGCAAGCTGATCACACCAACCTCCTGGAGAGCAGTGTATCTAATGCAGAATTTAGCATGGGAAGTGTAGGGGACCTTGCTGGTGTCTCAATGAGCAAGGTCTTTTTCCAGATGGTGAAGGAGGAAATGAGGTAGATTGCTCCGAATCTAAAGAAACTATGTTTGTGGTCTTTTTTTTATGTAACATTGTGCCTGCAAGTGTTGAAGATTATTGAGTAATGTAACAGAAATCATATGAGATTCAAGTCCGTTTTCAACTTCAGTCTGTAAACATGCACAATTTATATGTTTGTAATTTACCAAATCATGAGAATAACAGGTGAACAATACCACCTTATGGTTGCGGGTTTTGAAATGTGTCTTTTGATCTTGGGCTTTTGTTGACACGGATGATTTCACTGGATCACAAGCTTTTCTCGCAAACAAACTTCTTTCTCTTTTTCATTTTTCTTTTTTGGTCTGAATCCCTCAAACAAACTTCATGATATGGGTTTTGGTGCATACATACGAAAACTTGGTTGGGGTGTCATGGTATGCATGTATGAGAGCCCAACTGATTAAGATGTGACACAGCTTGTTAGGGGAAATTGTACAAAACTTTTCTATTTATTCACCATAATGTCATGTTTACTAATTCGTAATCGGCTTATAAGAAATTGAATTGAGGAGTAGTTGGAATCCGGATTCCCATTACCTTCCGTTTGGATGAATGAATTAAAAATTACATAAAATTCTAAAATGACAGAATTTGTATTTCCATCATTTCAATTTCTGGCAATTGAAGATTTCAATGTTTGGGATTTATGTATGTCGAATTTTGTAAGTGCATTATAAAAATTATGAAATGATGCCTATTTTGGTGGAAATTAACCTGAGAATTTGATGCCCCAATTTCTACGATTTTTTCCGCATGTCATTTAATAAATTCTATGCTTAAGTTGCCAAACAAGGGAATTGTTAATTTCTCCTCCCAAACTCCCGACTTTTAGTTAAATTCCGAGTTATTTTCCCTCATCCAAACATATGGTAAAGTTGTTTACTAAACTATGTGGAATCAGAGTATGAATGATATTGATTCCTTATAAGTTCTTTACTAAATTCTCCTAAATCGAAATTAAAATTAGTCCAATTCCTCAAAAATCAAGAGTTCAATTCCTGATTTTGTGTGGACTGTGCTTGATTTTTCATTCCCTTATGCAAAGTAAATATAGGAGTAATACGTAATCAGAGTTAGTAAACATGCCATAATACTAACCCAAAACTTAAATTTAGTTTAAAATTATTTTTAAAAAGTTTGTAAATATTTCTCTCCCAATATATATATATATATAATTCCTTCTTTTTTTTGTTGGAAAGCCCAATATATATAATTCAAATAAATGTAACAAGTGTTGGCCAAAAAAATAAATAAATAAATAAATGTAACAAGTAAAATAAAAATAAATTGTAACTACTTATCAAATTGGCTTGATTATTATAAAACCCTTTTATAATTTAATAAAAATATTCAACCGCTTGATATGTTTCATTGACAAAAAATATAACTTTTTTATTTTATTTTTTATAAAAAGAAATAAATATTTTAAGTAAATATCCACATCTTCTTTTTTTCTTTTTTCTTTTTCCGCCGAGAAAAACCATATAAATCGTAGCCGTTGCATCGTGCCCCCCAAATTTATCCTCCTGAACCCCATCCGGAGGGAGATAGAGCAAAGGAAGAGTGAGAACCTTGGAAACCCTAGCTATGGAGAAAGAGAGATCGAGCAAACGCCACCGCGAAGATCGAGACAGAGACCACCACAAGCATCGCAGTCGTGACGCCGATGAAAAGCGATCATCAAAGGACTCCGATAACCATCGCCACCACCATCGATCGGACCGCGATTCCAAGCGCGAGCGCTCTCACGAGCCCCGAGATCACAAATCTCGTCGCGAAAGGTCACGCGAGCCGAGCGACGACCGTGATATAGCACGTGACCAGCGGGAGCGGTCCTACGAGCCGAGGGGCGAGAGAGAGGGGAGCCGAGAGAGGTCCAGGCATCGCGAAACGAAGCGCGAGAGGTCGGAAGAGAGAGAGGAATATAGACGTAAGAGGAAAGAGAGGGAGAGGAGTGAGGGTAGAGATGGGGATGTTGTTGATTTGGACGATAAGAAGAGGGCTAGGGTTTCGGAGGAGGAGAGGAAAGATAGGAAGCGATTTGAGGAAGATGGGAAGGAAGTGAATGGAGGTCAGAGACAGAGTAGGAGGTTTGAAGACCGTCGAGTAAAGGAAGAAGAGGATGGTGATTATGGCGGAGCCGTTGAACGCAGCAATGAATTGAATGTGAATGCAAGTGAGGTTAAGAAAGAGGAAGTGGGTGATGACCAGCTTGGTAATTTTCAGGGCGACACCACCACCCCAAATGGGAGTGGTTGGGTGGGTAATGTAAGTTTTATGTTAGCTTTCATTTGTTCTGCTCTGAATTGCATTTGATAATTCTGCTTCTTTGATGCTGAAATTTTGAGCTGATAGGCTTTGAACAACTGTAAAAATATTCCACATTTAAGTGATACTTTAGGTTAGCCTCTTAATGGTTCATGAAACTGTAGTGAAGTATCTGAAATTCAATTTGGTTTAACGATATACCACTTTAAATTTCTCTATCTGATTAATATTATAGTTTGAGATATGCAATAGATTTCTTAGGTTCCGACTTCTGATCTCTTTGCACGATGTGATTGTTAGTTATAGTGTTACATATGGAATTGATTTTTAGGTTCTGACTTCTGATAGCATTACAGTATTCCTATAGGCATCTATAGTATGGAATTGATATCTTCTTGGTTGACTATTTACTCATGAGATTTGAAGTGTTGTATACTAATGATTGATTTGATTGGAAGCTACAGATTTTGAAATGAGGTATTTCTTCCTTAAAAATGTAAGGTGTCTTGTTACACTTTCTGCAAGCCTCTGTTTTGTCTTATAATGTATCTCTCTGTCATAAACTATTGTTAGGCTGTTACTGTTAGAAAATAGCTCTCTTTCCTACATGCTTTGTATCCTTGTAGGCCATGTCTCCATTAGCTGAGGAGTGAGGGCATCTGTGTGAAATTTATTCCTTTTCATGTCGTTTCTGATTCTTCATTTTTGTGTTCCCCTCCACCACAATCAAGTTCTTTTGCGGTATGCATAGTGACATTGTTTAATTTTCAACACTTACAGGGTGCTGCTTTGGAATCTACTAACGCATCAAGGATTGTGCCTGAGACCTCTTTCACACCTGGTCATCCCCTTCCTACCAAGGTATCTTCGATTTATACCACAAATGAAAATAAGGGAGTTAGTATTACCAGATCTCATGAGGTTCATGGAAAATCTAGTACAGATGGAACATCTTCAACTGCTGGGAGAAGTGGGAATCTGTCTCTTGATGATGTAGAAAAAATTAAGAAAGCTTTACAAAAGCAGAAGGAATTGACTGAGAAGCTGAAGAAGATTCCCCAGGTATTATATTCACATAAATTTGTTAATGCATCTCACCTCTTTGTGTTTCACAAAATTTTCATGCACAATATTGCTTCTTAATTACAGTTATTATATACATTTACCATGACTATTCTCATCATGCAGTTGAACAAGGGTGCCAATGCAAGAAAAGAAGCTAGCCAGAACTTGGGATCGAAGGAGCTGAAACCACCATCTGCCACTGCTGGAATACTGCATGCACCAGCCCCATCAACAACTGGTGGTACAGCTGCTCCGGGGGTAAGATTTGATTCATCAAAACTACCCGTTGCACCAGCAGCTTCATCTACAAGTGGCATGATTGCAGAAGCTGGCCTTACAGCCGTTCCCAACCTTGAAGCTGTTAAAAAAGCACAGGAGCTTGCTGCCAGTATGGGGTTCCGCCAGGACCCCCAGTTTGCTCCCCTTATAAACTTGTTTCCAGGACAGGTGGCAACTGATGTTGCTGCCCCTCAGAAGCCTACTAAGGCCCCTGTTCTTCGTCTTGATGCCCTTGGAAGGGAAATAGATGAACTTGGAAATTTAGTGAATGCGACTAAACCAAACAACCTCAGCACTCTAAAGGTTTAGTAGCTATTACCCTTCAGACAATTCCTCTTGTCAGATGAATTTTATTTGTTTGAACTTTAATCTAATGGTTCTAATTTTTTCAGGTCAATATTAACAAACAGAAGAAAGACGCATTCCAAATTCTTAAACCTGAATTGGATGTGGATCCTGAATCAAATCCCTTTTTTGATCCAATGATGGGTATTAATAAAACCAAGATTTTGAGGCCAAAGAGGATGAATTTCCAGTTTGTAGAGGAAGGAAAATGGTCAAGGGATGCTGAGCATATAAAGTTGAAGGTATTTATTGGCGTCTCTTTATTCTGTTTTGATCATTTCAGTGAGTTATGTACCTGTCTTTTTTGTTAAATTTTCTCCATTTCCTCTGTACAGAGTAAATTTGGAGAAGCACAAGCCAAAGAGCAAAAGGCGAAGCAGGCACAGTTGGCAAAGGCAAAGGCAGCACCAGATATTAATCCAAATTTGATAGAGGTATCAGAGAGAGTTATCACCAAAGAAAAACCAAAGGATCCAATTCCTGAAATTGAGTGGTGGTAAGCTGCTATCTACTTTTTGCATTGCTGTGATTTGCTGAGTGGTTCTTCTTTTTTTCCCGCCTGGATCGTGGTGACCGCAAGGAATAGATGACCTTAAAAGTTTATTGAATATGATAACTGATTATCTTGTTTTTTCCCTTCTCTCTGCTCCCCTTCTGTTCCAATGTAGAAAACATGCCATGATCTGTGATTGTAGATGAAACAAAAGGGGTCAACCCAAATCCTAATTTCCATCCATTTTTTAATGATATCTTTAACTAAGATGCCTGAAGAATTGTTTTCGTTGTTTTGTTTGCCATTTTTCAATTGCAGATTTGATTTGCATGTTGTTTGGTCCTCTCAGAACTTTTATTTTATGTTAAAGGCATTTGCTAATTGTGCTTTGCTAAATTTGTCAGGGATGTGCCCCTATTGCACTCTGGTACTTATAATGAAGTCATTGATGGCGCAGTAGTGGAAAATAAATTAAAGATGGAGAAAATCACCATCTATGTTGAACATCCTCAACCTATCGAGCCCCCTACTGAGCCAGCTCCTCCACCGCCTCAACCACTGAAGCTGACCAAGAAGGAACAGAAAAAACTCCGTACACAGAAACGCCTGGCCAGAGAGAAAGATAGGCAGGAGATGATTAGACAAGGCCTGATCGAACCCCCAAAGCCAAAAGTTAAAATGAGTAATTTGATGAAAGTTCTTGGCTCTGAAGCAACCCAAGATCCAACCAGGCTTGAAAAGGAGATTCGGAGTGCAGCTGCTGAGCGTGAACAAGCTCATATAGACAGGAATATTGCACGAAAGCTCACTCCTGCCGAGCGCCGTGAGAAGAAAGAAAGGAAGCTTTTTGATGACCCAAATAATGTGGAGACCATAGTCTCAGTTTACAGGATCAATGAACTGTCACATCCAAAGGCCCGCTTCAAGATTGATGTTAATGCACGGGAGAACCGGCTAACTGGATCAGCTGTGATCTCAGATGGTATGAATGTAGTGGTTGTTGAAGGTGGCAGCAAATCTATTAAGAGGTATGCTAAGGTTATGCTTAGGCGCATAAACTGGGCTGAAGCTGTAAAAGATGATGAAGAAGAAGATGATGATGTAAACAATGATAAGCCTGCTAACAAGTGTGTGTTAGTATGGCAAGGAAGTGTTGCCAGACCAAGCTTCAATAGATTTTCTGTTCACGAGTGCATGACTGAAGCTGCCGCCCGGAAGATTTTTGCTGATGCTGGTGTTGCTCATTATTGGGATCTTGCGGTCAATTTTGCAGATGATGAGTAGTAATTGGAGACTGCTTCCGTGGATTATCTTAAATCATCATGGCCGGTTTGCCTCAACATTTTGGTAAACGAGTATTAGTTCGAAAATTTGCTTTGTGCGAATTGTTAACTGTATGGGATCATTTATGTTAGCGTATTGCTCATATAAAGTGAACCACCTATCCATGCGTGTGGCACAAATTAAGTTGCATCAATGAGAACACCTCGCATGTCCAGATGCTGTAATTATGTTGAAACTAGAAAGTGGGTAAGTTTATAATGCCTTTACTTTCTCTGTTGTTGCTGCAAGTATTGTTTTTAAATGTGTGGAGTTACTTTAGAAACAACAAATTTCTCTTCGCCTCTTGGTATGAGTAACATAGAACATGGCCAACCGATATGATGATGCTTGGACTCCATTGCAATAAAGCTAGCATGCATGATTGTTCTATACCACAACAACCAAAAGCGAAAAGATTGTTAGTTGGTGCAGGGAGCTTTTGAAAAGCCAGTGGAATTGCAGCATTCTTCATGTCTATAGGGAGACCCATTTTGCTGCTGATTTTCTAGCTAAGATGGGTCATCGTAAGGATTTGGGTTAGTCATGAGCTCTCTTCTCCTCCTGATCAGACGCAGTCTAATTTAGATGATGATAAGAATGGTCTCTTGAGGCCTAGATTTGTTTCTGTGTAGTCTTTTTGGTTTGGGCTTTGCCCCCTATTTTACCCCCCCAGAAAAAAAAAGACTTAGTTTCCGAGCTTTTATATAGACCAGCATGCCTTAGCAAACTTTAGAGTTCTTGAAAGTGTGTGCCATATCTCCCAACTGGATTTTGATTTCTGCGAGTGTTCCCTCCGCCGAAGGAGGCATAACTTCAGCGTAGACTGTGCCATGCAGCTCAGCTCCTACAGGAAAGCCGCAAGCTTTTGAATGAAAATATTCGTAGAAAAGGAAATTTGACCAAAACGGTTGATGCAGATATTCATATTTGCCTCCCTCCATGCTCATTCACATGCCGATAGATAGCTGATCGCGCCAATTTTCTGCTTTGACTTATGGGCCTAGTCTAAGCTAAAGCCCTTCTTCTCCTTTATTGGTTTGAGTTAGCTTCTAATTCGGTGAGGGATGGGGTAGGGTAGCCTATCTATATTTAACTACCAACTTCTTAGTTCTAATCTTCCTCCTGTTTTCTTACTTCCCTTTTTCAGAAGGTATAGACCATGCTTTGTCAAGCTTACCCATTTTGGTTTTCAGTCCTTCCTTTTTTCAATTTTCTTGTCTCCTTCAAAAACGGTGAAGTGATGCAATTTGCTTTATATGGTTCGTTCATTTCACCATTGCTTTCCCAAGTTTACACTTTTAGGTAAGATCCTTGAGAAAATCGGCTAAAGTGTGCTGTATACCATTCCATAATTTGGTGGACTTGGATTTTTATTTTGGAGTTATACGTATCATGCAATTGTCACTACATAACCATAATGCAAAGTGTGTGCGCATCTCTTTGGACTTAAGAAACTCTCCTTTTAAAGGGTTTTGAATCAAACCAAAACAAATGCCTCTAGAAAGAAATATAAAGTTAAAAAGTCAGCACCATACAATCGACATTGGGAGAGAGGGAAATCGAACTTAGGATCTCGGGTGTAAGAGTAACTGCTCTTAACCGCTTCTTTAAATCATGATTAATTAACCCCAAAAAGGAAGGAAAAGTAAATTGATTTAAGGAGAAGGAAGATGAAAATTGGTAATTGAGTTGTACCATTGTTACACATGTGCCCCCACAACTGTACTGGTTTATACATAAGAAGCTGGGTGAAACAGTAACCTTCCAGCCCAACCGCACCTCATAAATTGTAACTGGCTTAATGGGGAAGTTTATCTGACTGGATAGCGTAACCTACTAAACATAAAGTGGGCAGCTGAAAAATGGCAGTAGCCCTCAAGACACCTCAAATTATAAAATTTTGGACGAAATGCATCACCATCAACATGGAGCGTACTTGCTTACGCATATTTTGATCAACACCCAACCTAATTTTCATGGACCCCCGAAAACTGTCAAACAAGATTAATAAAACCCTGAAAAATTACAAACAGAAACACACATTAAACCACGTGTCACCAGCCTTGATCTCCCACGTGTCCACCCGGCTGTTGTTCATGAGAAGAGAAGTCGTATGGAGATGGGATTAGGCATTGTAGGTCACCTCTCTCTCACCTCCCCCTCCAAAACAGTAGAAGATAAAAAATTAGTAGACAGAAAATTATAAATAAAATAAAAAATAACAGTAAAGTAAGTTAAAACCCCACACACGCCTCGCCCATTATGGTTGGTTATATTTCTATATATTGAAAAACTATCCGCCATAAAACCATAAAGCAACAGCCAAACAAGCACCTCCTTCGCGTCACACACGCTACAAGAGATAGAGACAGAGAGAGAGAGAGAGACCTGAGAGGCCAAACCACTGCGCTAAGCAAAAGCAAAGGGCTCGTCTATCTCTTAACGCATTTTCGAAGAATTTAAGCCCATCCCAAACACGCCGTTAGTTAACCCCACTCCCCCTCTTTTTCTCTGTGCACCTCCAGCGCTATAAATATCTGGAGGCTTGGAGAGAAAGGAAGCTATACGAATGTCGTCTCGTGTAGCAGACAATCAAATATCGCCGTTCTTCACTACAATGGAGCTCGATGATTTATCACGCGCCTCCCACGGCGCGTCTCCCTCACTCGGCCAGCTCCTCAAGCACGTCGGCGACGTCCGCAAGGAAGCTACTGGTGATGGCGGTGAGACTCCGGCGCACCACGCCCTCGACCTCTCCGACGCCAGCATCGAGCCTCGCTCCTTGCCGTTCGTGCTCTCGTTCACTAATTTGACTTACAGCGTCAAGGTTCGCCGGAAGTTTAGCTTATCGGGGATGTTCTGCGGCGAGAGAAGCCGTCTCGGAGCAGCCACGGAGTCGGAGCCGGTCGGCGGAGAGAGCCTGTTCACCAGAACGAAGACGCTGCTCAACGACATCTCGGGAGAAGCTCGGGAAGGCGAGATACTCGCGGTTCTCGGCGCTAGCGGGTCGGGCAAGTCGACTCTTATCGACGCTCTGGCGAATCGGATCGCGAAGGGAAGCTTGAAAGGAACCGTAAGCTTAAACGGCGAGGTCTTGGAATCGCGGCTTCTGAAGGTCATTTCTGCTTATGTCATGCAAGACGATCTACTCTTCCCGATGCTCACAGTCGAAGAGACGCTCATGTTCGCCGCCGAGTTCCGCCTCCCCCGCGCGCTCTCCAAATCCAAGAAGAAAGCCCGCGTCCAGGCTCTCATCGACCAACTCGGCCTCCGGAACGCCGCGAAGACGATCATCGGCGACGAAGGCCACCGTGGAGTCTCCGGCGGGGAACGACGCCGTGTCTCGATCGGAATCGACATCATCCACGATCCGATCGTTCTCTTCCTCGACGAACCGACTTCCGGCCTCGACTCCACCAGCGCCTTCATGGTGGTGAAGGTCCTCCAGAGAATTGCTCAGAGCGGAAGCATTGTCGTGATGTCCGTACACCAGCCGAGTTATCGGATCCTGGGGCTCCTTGACAGGTTGCTCTTCCTGTCTCGAGGCCAAACCGTTTACAGTGGGTCCCCTACGACCTTGCCTTCGTACTTCGCCGAGTTCGGGCACCCGATACCCGAATCCGATAACCGGACCGAGTTCGCGCTCGATTTGATCCGGGAACTCGAAGGCTCACCCGGCGGCACTAAAAGCCTAGTGGAGTTCAACAGAACCTGGCAGAGCATGAAACACTCCAACAACGACACGTCGTGCCAAATCGCCTGCGAGCCACGACAAGCCCTCTCGCTTCAGGAAGCGATCAGCGCGAGCATTTCCAGAGGGAAGCTGGTATCCGGAGCCACCAACAACGACCCGAGCCCGAACTCGATGGTCCCCACATTCGCGAACCCGTTCTGGATCGAAATGGCGGTGCTCTCTAAGCGTTCGATGAAAAACGCCAGAAGAATGCCGGAGCTTTTCGGCATCAGGCTAGGCGCCGTGATGGTCACCGGCTTTATCTTAGCCACCATGTTCTGGAACCTCGACAATACCCCAAAAGGCGTCCAGGAGCGGCTCGGCTTCATCGCCTTCGCCATGTCCACCACCTTCTACACCTGCGCCGACGCCCTTCCCGTTTTCCTCCAAGAACGCTACATCTTCATGCGCGAAACTGCCTACAACGCGTACCGGCGATCTTCCTACGTCCTCTCCCACTCCCTAGTGGCGCTGCCGTCGCTAGTGTTTCTGTCAATTGCATTCTCAGCGCTGACGTTTTGGGCTGTGGGGCTGGACGGCGGGCTCTCCGGCTTCTTGTTCTACTTCCTGATAATCTTCGCGTCGTTTTGGGCCGGGAGCTCTTTCGTCACTTTCCTCTCCGGCGTGGTCCCGCACGTAATGCTCGGCTACACGATTGTCGTGGCGATCTTGGCCTACTTTCTGCTCTTCAGCGGCTTCTTCATCACGCGGGACCGAATTCCGGGCTACTGGATTTGGTTCCACTACATGTCGCTGGTGAAGTACCCTTACGAGGGCGTGTTGCAGAACGAGTTTCAGGACCCCACCAAATGTTTCGTGAGGGGAGTTCAGATTTTCGACAACACGCCGCTCGCGTCAGTCCCGGCGGCGATGAAGTTGAAGCTGCTGGATAGCATGAGCCAGACTTTGGGGACGAGGATCAGGAGCTCGACGTGCCTGACGACGGGGTCGGATATTTTGCAGCAGCAGGGGGTGACGGATTTGAGTAAGTGGAATTGCCTTTACGTGACTGTGGCTTGGGGTTTCTTGTTCAGGATATTGTTTTACTTTGCCTTGTTGCTTGGTAGCAAGAACAAGAGGAGGTAAACCCAGAAAGAAAAATAAACGTAAAAAAGAAAAAGAAAAAAAGAGAGTAAAGAGGTAGATATTCCATGCATAGCAGAAGCTCTGTCCAGCTAGCTGTTTGGCGCGGGAGTCAGGTGGTTCTTGTTGTTGACTGGTCTCTCTCTGTGAAACTGTGAAATTCTTGTGGCAATTTTAATCTTTTTTCACTTCCAAATACTATTTCTTAAATTCGAATTACGTTGATTTTGAAGGACCATGTTAATTTGGTTTCATGCATATTATTGTACAACTGTTACATATTATATACGTAAGTATTACTAGCGACAACTAATAAATAATGTTTCACTTTTAGATCAACCTCTTTGTACCTGTTATCAATTATTTTAGAGCATATCTCTTCCAATAGTGATTTCTTTTGTTGGACAAATATCTCCAATAGTGATTGTAACTGATTTTAGAATTATATTTTGTAGCTTCTTGGAGTGAAATGTCTCTCATTGTTCATACATGATTGAGAGTTTAAAAGTCAAAAAAGCAAAACAAGCATATAATATATGCATGTAACAACAAAAACCCACAAAACACCAAAACGAACATCCCGTCGACACATAGTAATAGCTGATTCCCGGAAAGAACCAAAACCAGAAGAAGACATATATAGGGGTTAATTGGTTCACCCAACACCACACTCAATCCAGCATATGTATCATCTTCTTTCTTCCCAAAATCACACAACCAAATTCATCAGCTCATCAATTTAGCCATTTTTCTTTGGCTCTAGTTATTATATATAATGTTATAATAGGTGTTCTGAACTCGGATGCAAAATAGAGAGCACATCGACTCTAGTCAACTTGAGAAATCTCGTGTTTGCATAATTGCTTGTGCTGTGATATAGTGTTATGGGTAAAATTAATTGCACTGCCATATATATATATATTGTAATATAATTGGCATATATATATATATACTAGCACATTGAATCATTAATATTGGGTGTTGGATGTTGGGGAGTTTAATTTCTGCAAGTCTCTTTCAAAAGAACTGGGAGCCGCACATTGTGATCAAAACAACAGGCCTTGGCCAAGAAGAGTTTAAGATGGTCTCTGGCAGGCAGCCTCAGCTGGCTCGTCGTCTACTTCA